TCAAGATTTTCATCCATGATTATCCCAAGATCGGAAATATGTGAGACTCTACTGATTATATTACCATTAATAAAAAGATTAGGAAAATCGAAACCTTTTGAATTGGTATGAAGAACGTACATTTCTGAAAGGAAAGAGTAATTCGCCTATCATATAGCCAGTTGTCTATTCTATTGAGGTCCTCCTACAGTTCCACTTTAAAGCAGATTGTAGGTAGTAAAATTTCCTATTAGAAATCTCTAAGAAATTTCAGAAAGTTTACTTTACTTAAATAAATAAATAAATTTCCTTAGCTAAGCTTATGTAGAAATTTAGAATTTTAATAATTCTTTCGGGAAATTTTTAAAGAGATGAAGTGAATAAATAATAAGCGCACCGCAATCATTTTAAAATCATTTTTTCGAAAACCTAAAAAAGTTATCTGTGAATAAAATTTTTTTTAAATTTTTGTACAATTGAAATAAAAACGGGGAAAAATTCCGAGGTCAAAATTTTGTGTGGGAAAAAATTTAAGAGTCCTCACCATTATTGGTTAAACTCGCTCCACTGGCTTGCTGCATCGGGCAATATGCCAGGGAGTCGCTTGGGAATAGAAATATAAGTGAGTCGCCACCATCACCCGGATTTTCATACAGGTTTACTCTTCCGAGGAATAGAACCTCAGCATCACACTCCAAATTGAGTAACAACGCACTGAGCCATGCTATCCCCCGGGGAAAAATATTATATTATTATAGACGAAAACTAAATATGAATTTGCCATTGATTCGATTGTTTTTTCCTTGTTGATTTAAACTATTTGTTTTTTTTTCTAACAATATTCACCATTTCTGATTAAACTCACTCAACTGGCTTATCGGAGTAAAGTAAATTTTTGGCAGAGTCCGAGCGAGTCATTTGTGATAGAAATATATAGGTGAATTACCAGCAACGTCCAGGACAGGCTTAGCTAAAATGAAACTCTAATATCGATTGATCTAAGCCTCAAACTAATTTATTACGTAAGAAGAAATTTCAGAGATTCCTATAAAATTTTCTTAAAATAATGCATTGTTTAATTTCATTGTTTAACATTGTTTTAAATGATTTTATTAAAATTTTTTTTTAGCTCAAATTTTGAATATTTTTCAAGGCGAACTTTTCAAGGTAAATTTTTTTTTATCGATATAATGAAAAATTTTTTTATTTGGTGGTTTTTTAAAAAAATTTACAAATTTTATATTGTTTGATCATTTATTATAAATAATAATAAATATTTAATATTTAATAAATATTATTATTATAATTTTTCTTTACAATCGACTAATTCGTTTATGTTTCAGGTCGAAAATTACAAATATTTCTTCTATTAGTTCTAATAGTTGCATTGGTGCTTTTAACGTTTCTTATTATATACGTTTTAAATGCTTCATTCTCTATAAAACAATCCGTATAGTTCGAAATTTTTTACAATTTTTGTATTATTGTGAAATATTATTGCTTATTTAAAGAACAACTCTGGTGGTATTGCCGGTCCGCAGACACCCAAATAGCTCTCCCCCAATAATAAGGGATCTCATAATTAGTAGCCAAATCAGGAGCAGTGAATGCTGTTAAGGGGAAAAAGAGGAAGACCTGCGGCTAAGTAAATTCATAAATATTTTCCTTAGTCAGACATTTAATCGTAGTACTAAAATTTTGGAGTGCGGTGTGCTTATGTATCATCGAGTTGTCGAGCACTTACATTTCCTTCCACATATCTATTTTAATATATGAATATATTGTAATTTTACTTATTTTTAATTTCTTTATTATTTCTTCTCTGCATTTATGAATTCCGGTTTTGGTGAATTATTTATATTCTTACTTAAATTGTTCCCTATTCACCTTATGTTATTGGCCAAATTATAATTTCAATTTTTATGGATAAATTTCCATTCAACCATTTTTTAAAACTCGAATCATCGCCATCACTGCTTATTTTTTCCTTTTATGATTAATAAATAAATAGTTTTCTGAATATTAGAATTATTTTTTAAATTTCTTAATATTAGAATTATTTCTTAATTTAATATAATCTCATTTATATAATAATTTAAAATAATATAATTTAATTTGTTTAATAATTTTAAAATATTTGTAGTTTGCAATTGTTAGTGTTAATATTTTATCATTCGTGTTGTCATTGCATGAGTCAATTATGTTATCATATTGTAAAGAAATATTGTAATATAAAAATTAAAATAAATGTTATAAAAAATGAAAATAAAATTGTGAAATATTCTATTTAAATAATTATAAATTTGAATGAAATAAGATAACCGTGGAACGGCGACAGTTGTATTGTTCGAACCAAGGTTAAGGAATTATGAATCCAACTCCTGGCTTTGCTTGGAACCTGGTTTATGCTGCAAACTCACCCTATAATTCTATTTTCGAATGGCTCTCTCTAGTGGAAAGATATATTCTAAAAATCTTCCTAATAGCAAATGAATGAAGCGTAGCAGAGAATGGTGCGTGATGATAGAGGAAGAAAATAGTTCGAACTTACCAATCATATTTTGCTGAAATTTTATATCGAAAATCCTTTAATATTTTTATTGAAAAAATTTTATTAATCTATTAAACTTTAATGCGCTGATTTGTTTTTAAATTTTCCCGAAAAATATTATATTTCTCCATTTATGCATTAAGCGGTTAGTGCTCACCATTTCTGGTTAGGTGAAAACCCGCCAGCTGTTAATTATTTGCCAGGCAATTATTTGGCATAGGTTTAGGTGAAAACTCGCTAGGTGCTAGAAATTTTTTGGCAATGAAATCGTCATAGCCACTCGGACTTCATTTTTTACACTAATATTTACCTGTATGGAGAAATTTCCTGTTAGCTTTTAACGATAAATGTATAGCATTATTGCTTCCGAACCGGTTAATTTTTTTGGAATTCTATTAATCAAATCATCAATAAGAATTATATTTATAATTTATGTTATAATTTTTTACAGCTACTTAATGAATTCCTTTTAAAGGCCATCCTGGTGAAATTTATAAACGGTCATTCATTATCATTATCATTTTCGCTTTATCAGCAATCTTATCACAAAAATTCGTTATCTATAATCGATCCAATTTATAAGCTTTCTTTACTTTTAAGAATATAAATATAGTATTTTAGAATGAACATTAAATGAAGTTCTCGTATCGATAGCAAAAATATTGCTCATCGTCACATTTCCAGTTATTAAATTCCATAAATTCCATTAAACACCACAATTTACATAACGAATACAATTTTGCTGCCCAAAAAACCACTGCGATTTCTCGTTGTTTTAATTCTACTGAAGCTGTTATTCTGTTATTTTTATCATATATGTTGCATTAAATAAAAATTAGCAACAACTGACTGCAAAACAATCAAACCTAACTAAAAAACATAATTTTTGCAAGCGGTAGAATGGAATGGCTTAGTGGCTCACTGCTATTATTTGGGGACGTCGATGCTGAGGTTTTGTTTCCGCTAAAAAGAAGCCCGTCTTTTAGAAATCTAAATGCTACTAACGGCTCATCTGTATTTCAAGTACGTCGCTAGCAAAGTCCATCTGATCCGACAAGTCAGCGGGGCGAACCTGCAATGCGAATGCTTAAACTGCCTGAGCTGATGAGGTAATCCAAGCAAAACGACACTTCACTAAATTTCCTTGGAAATCGAATTGGCCAAATTCTGGTTCTCTCTCTCTCAAAAAAAAGAAACATTTACAAAATCAGAAAAAAAAAATTCATTTCTACTTTTTCAATAAATGTTGTTTTGAAATGAGATTTCACTAAGAAAAACGAGTTATTTTTCTTCTTATTTTCTATATTTACGGTGATAATCAAACGAAATGTTGGCGCATCAACGACCGATAATTTTTAAGCGATATTTTAGACAAATTTCTTAAACTCACCGTAATTCTGTGTTCAGACAAATCGGTGCAAATGTGAACTTTTGCGGTAATCAATTTGTTATGTTTTTGTTCAAACAGGTTTTCTAAATTTGGAAGCTAATCAATAACTTAAATTATAGGTGAATTATGTGAACCAGGCTAATTATCTGCATACTGTAGGCAATTATGCGATTATAGGTAATTCCTTTGTAAAGCAGTGATTTCTCCTAATTTGTTTTGTGACTCGTCGAAATTGAGAATCACAAAAAATAATTAATAGAATGCAGAGCGTTTCAAAAATTTTTGGTATTCTTAATTTGGTTCTTTAAAATGATTTTTTTCAAGAATGTTCAGCATTTCTGGTTAAACTCGCTTTGCTGGTTTGCCGGGTCAGATAAATTTTCCCCAGAGATACGATAGAATCACGAATGAGAGCCGCCCGAAAACAAAAATTCCATTTCCGCGGGAGCAGAGTCCCAGCACCGGGTTCGGAAGTAAAGAATGCAAGCCTTGGTTCACGCCTCGCATCGAACTATGTTCAGTTAGCTATGCCAACAATGTATTTATCTGCGATAATTGCGGTTGTCTTGCTCGGTCTAATAAATAAATTTCAGGTTTAAATGATTTAATTACGCGTCGATTCCAATCGCTTATTAGAAATCGCCTGCTGTCTTTTCTCGTTTATGACCTGTTTTTTTTTTTTTTCAAATATAAATGACCTTCATTCGCAATCGCCAAAGATATTTTTTCTATAATATATATGCTTGTATATATTAATATATTAATTTATCTATTTTTTTGCTATTGATTGCTGAAACTGTGAATTATTTGGACAATCCAGTGTAATTCTAATTTATTGTTTGTTTGGTATTCAAATTTTCACCGAAATCACCGAAATTCCAAGCAAAAACCTCGTATTTTAATCATTTTAGCAAAGCATTACTTTCAATAAAGAACTAACAATTTTTAACAATTTTGCGCCTAAAATTATTCGGAAAGTTTCGCAACGTTTAGAAGAAAAGGTGTTTAAAATCGCCGATATAATTAAAAGATTTCAGAATACTTCACAGTCGAAGCAAATCATCGAATGATTGGACTAACATGTCGGTGCTGCATGAAATTGAAAAACGATTTGATCAGCAGCATCGCGAAAATCATCCAGTAAGAGAGCCAAATCGACGGAGTAGCATTTTGGTGGGTCGCCGATCGTTGGAACTCACCGAAGAGTACGGCGATAAAGAGCCAAGGTTATTCGCCTATATTCGGTTATTTTCTTCCAGAAACTCGTTTTTATTTTAGCAGAATTTAGGTTCCCACTCGTTCTTTCAGAAACTAATTTTATTTGACAACACGCAATTCAGATTTTACATGCTGAAACGAATTACAGGTTTGTAAAACTTATAGTGAAACTTTACAAGCAGTGGGGCTTTATTATTACGAAATGGGCTTGGCTCGCGGTTTTCACGTGCCTCACATTGTCCGTCCTTGGAACACTCAAAATACTACAAACAAAGTTCGTAATCTCATTAATTTAAGCCAATCTTTGTAGTTTAGTATACGAAGCATAATTTTATTTATAGTGAATAGTATTTGCTAAATACTATATTAATTATTTCATGCCGAGCTAGTGGAACTTTCTCGCTTAATAATTCGGGTTTATTACTAATATTTTTTCCTCCCATAGATTTCCAATTTCCTGAAAACAACGAGGAATTACAGGCAAAAAAATGAACTCACTGGTTACGTGCCATTTGAAGCGCGGTCCCGTGTTGAATTCGAGCAATACACCTCATTCTTTGCTCATAGTGGCCTGCCGATTGCAAGTTACATATTTTTAGCTCCTAAAGATGGCGGTTCAATTCTGCGAGATGATTATCTTATGGAAACTATTAAAGTACCATATAATTTTTCTTTCTCTTCACTTTTGTAATTTATCAATGTTTGCTATTTAAGATGAATATTTACAGAATTACAGCATTTTATAGCCAACAAAAGTGAAAATATTAATCTGAATTAATTTTTTAACTAAATTTTGCACTTTTTTAGATTTTAAACCTGGCGATGGGGAACGTAACTATGTTTAATCGAGATTTGAATAGAAGTCAGTCATTTGAGGAATTCTGTATAAGTTTCTGCATCGCGAATGAGCCAGTTCGGCAATTCTATGTAATTCTCCGTTTTTTTCCCAGTAATTTCTCAACCCTGCATAAATTCGTTTCATAATTAAATCAGAGTTAAATAAGGATCGTTTTCCTTCACTGCAACCCAAATTAAGTTGGCTTCACCAACCAGAAAGACAATATTTTCAAAATTAGTGACGCTATAAACTCCTTTTTTGCACCCTCCAGGCTCATATATCGTTAATTTCTTATGTTGGCTTGGTTTCTTATGTTACATTTCAATTTTCATCATTGTTGTAAAGTTATGAGAATAGAGTGGTGCTAAGAATCCGCCTCCGTTTCTAGGTCTATTTTATTCCGATGAAATGGTGAGAATTGTGAGAGTAGCCAGTGAGACCGACCAAAGCAGAATCAGTGAACAATATCATTGTGTCAGCAGATATTGCATGAAAATAAACATTATATAAAAATAAATTGATCAAATGCTCAAAATGCGGAAAATCGTAAAATATAAAGGTTTTATGGTACAACAACCAGTGTTAGCGACGAGTTAAAGATGACGAAGAGATCTATCATAAAACTGAGAAATGATGGATAAGGAATTAACTGATATTAGATAATTTAACTTCTTTTCAGTAGATGATTTAAATAATAATAATATTAAGCACTTTCAAAAATATGAACTTTAGAATGGGTGGCAAATCCAGAAATTGTCCATTGAACGAGGAGATGGGGTTAATGATGTGATAAAGCTCGATTATCCAACAAGCTCAATTTTCGATAAGAAATTCAGTTTGCAAGTAAGTTTTAGAAAAAGTCCGAGTATCAAAATTTTACCGTTTTTTAGCACATGGAACGATTTATATCTTCAGTATCAATCTTAAATTTTTGACTGAAGATAAATTTTAGCCGAATTTTTTTGGTGTTGAGCTATATGATACAAAAGAATCGTCCGATGATGGTGATACTTATTCATCTAATTTGACTGATATTAATGAATCTGCTGCAAATAAGAGCTTATCAGAACAACGAATGCTAACGAATATGAAAATCGCTAGAATAATAGCATTACAGTTCCGCGCTGAGCATTTACCGGCTTGGTCAACAGATGATGTTAAAGATTGGGAATTACGACTCGTGAAATTTTTTGAAGAGTATATTTTTGCTTGTATATTTTGTTATTAATTATTGCAAATTAAGACAAAGAAGCCATATTTTAAGAATGCAAAATATATTTTTTTGAAGAGACTTTTGCAAATGATTTGGATTTTAAGCATTTATCAATGTGAGTAATATGCTAATGAATACCACTAACACTAACTCTTTACTGGTTAAGTTGGCTGCCTTAGCTACTGGGCTAAGACATTTCCAAGCCGCATTTGATGCATAATGGAAGCCATTCCTTCTCCAATCCTCTAGGCTCATATATGTACCTATTGCTTAAATTGCTAAATTGCTCAATCTATCTAAAGAACCATCAAATCTTTATAATGCTTTTTTAATAACTGAGATATTACTGTTTCTCGTTGATATTTTAGTGAATACAAATCCGATTTATTAAAAATTTTCGTTCTATCGCAAACGTACATTGAAACAGAGATGGTGCGAGCTGGTGCTTCATTACTACCATATCTCACTGTTGGCTTTTTTATTATGTGTACGTGCTCAGTGGTCACAGTTACGATTCGAGCTGCTTATATGCACCAAAATAATTTCTATAAGGTCATTTTATCTATAGGTTATGTTTCTGTTGTTTATTGGTCAAACGTTCTAGAGAAAGCAGTACCAATAGCATTAGTATTAACAGTAGCAGAAGTAACGATGTAGTGGTAATATGCTAATATAGGTAATAACGGTATTGTGTTAGCATTGCTAGCAGTAGTAGTAACGATAGTGGCAGTGGCGATAATAATAATAACGTTAGTACCATTAGTAATGACCATTAGTAGTAAAAGCAGTTCGTTACTAAACTTATTTGAAAAGATTATTTTTCCTTCAATATCTTAAAGCTAAACATAGCGAAAATTCCATAATTTGAATTCAATCTTTTCTTGAAATTAAAATTTAATTTCAAAGTTCCTACAGTCAATGTTTTTGAATTTTAAAATTGAGAAATTCAAATTTTTTATAAAAGTTTATAAAAAAGAGATTTCTATTATTTTATTTTACTCATATAAAAAATTAAATCGGATTAAATCGAGATAAATTTTCTTTTCATTTTTATCCCTTCAAAAAATTAATAAACTGATGGAAATTAACTGCGAATTATAATAGGTGATACTGGCAGTGATGGCCTGTATAACACCGTTGCTTGCTTGCCAAACTGCATTGGCAGTACTCTTTCTCGTTGGCCTACGATTTTCGTCCATTTTATGCGTTATACCATTCCTTGTGCTTTCAATTGGTTTTGTTCTTTATTCTATTCTTTTTTCTATCTTTTCCACAATTTTTCTATAAAAAATTTTCTCAAAAATTTACAAATTTACAAATTTTCAATTTTTTTAAAAATTTTGTTAACTAAAATCAAACTGTTGCATAAATTCTATTAAAGGAGTCGACAGTTCGTATTTAATGATTCACGAGTGGCAACGAGTAACTAAAGAAATTCATGATGGGCAAAAGAAACCTGATAATGTTGATCATAGGATGTCGGAGGTATTATCCATATTCGTTCATTCCTTTTTTCTGAGAACTCTGGTTCGACTTGCTGTGCTTGTAGGATATAGAATAAGACAAATGCTGCCACAGAGTGTTCATTCTATCATCATTTGGTGATAGAAGTACAAGTGAGTCGCCAGCATGATGGCAGCCTTCGAATATTTACGGAGATGAAAAGGCTTATAAAAAGATTTGTCATAAGCCCTATGGTAGGCATTAAATATATTTCTTATTTCCATTATCTCGATTACTAAAATTCTAAAATCATTCTTAAGATTTGTATATTTGTAGAAATTGTCATTTATGATTTATAAAAATTTATTATTACTTTTTTATTATTTTTTATTTTTTTCATCGCAAAATTTCAAAAGATTTATAAAAACATTTTGAATTTAAATTTAAATATACTGCTTTCAAAATTTTTATTTATTTATTTTTATTTAAAATTTTATTCCACTGATCAGAACCACTGATAATCATTTTATATTTATTAGTTTATTAATTATTTTTATATTTATCATTTAAAAATTAAAAGTCATATAAAAATAATAAAAATTATTATTTATTGTCATAATGATGAGTGCAAAATTTAGGTATTAAGTGAAGTTGGTCCAGCAATTCTCATATCTGCTTTAACAAATATCCTAGCCGATGGCGTCGGTTGTTGGACTTCATCGCCGGAAATACGACTATTATGTCTTGGGAATTTATTTTCGATGTTCATGGCGTATATATATCAGGTGCTTAATTTTTCGATTATAAGGTTGATAACATTTCATTTTTCATTTTTCTATAATTGTCAGTTATCTTGCCAATTATCTTAAATTTTCATTTTAAAGGAATCAGTCATTTTGTAGGGATTGATTTTATAATAATTAATAAGATTTAAGTGCAAAAATAAGATTTGTTGACAAAATTCTTAATGCTTTCTTGCATTATATTTAATGTGCAAATGTGATGAAACGGTTAGATTGATAAAAATTTTAAAAATTTTCGTCATATTTTTGTCATAAAAGTTTGCCTTTTGCAATTAATACAAGTAACATCATTAAAAATGAGGAACTATTTAGATGACTTTTTATTCTGGTTTAATGTCAATTGTTGGTAGATTAGAAATCGAAGGCGAAAAAAAGAATAATAATACTATGGAAATCAGCATAAAAGATATGAAAGTCAACATTCGTCGTGATAGCGCAATCTTTGTTAGTTTTTAAAATCATTTTTTCATGATCACATATACATATATCAAATGTTTCCATAAATGTTTCCACTAAGTGGGTCGTTGGTCTCATTTCAAACTGACAAATTGATAACTGATAACGTCGATACTAAAGCACCACCTCAATAAAATTAAACACCACCTGTTCATCGAAAATCGTGGTGACCCATTTCAACTTCTATCACCAAATAATTCTCTCGCAAAAAAACTTGTCCAGTCCAATCATCTAATAGAATGAGTCCGACCAAAAGTAGTGGAAGCTCTTGGAAAAACAAAGTGCTTTTTTATTTTGTATTGTCACAGAACAAAATTTAATAATTTCACAAAAAAAGAATCAATTTGCCATGAAAGCCAAGTGTTTCTGTGAGAAAAAAGCAAATGAAGGAGAAAAATTGAAAATATAACTTTTTGTCACCATTCCATCCATTCCAAATTAATTTAAATTGTTAAAATTAATTTCAAATTTAAAATTATGAATAACCATTAATTAATATTATAATAGAAATTATATAATAGCACAATAATACATTATTTATTATAGTAGTAACAATAACGGTATTAACGATAATTAATAATATTAATAATAATAATAATGCCGATTGGTAATGAAAAATTTCCAATTTGCAATGCAATTACTTCCCAAATCTTAAAGATTTGAATTTTACATATTCATGAATGTTAAAAACAAAATTTAATAATATAAAAATACCCGTTGTTACTGTTAATTTATGATATTGTATTTTGATTGATTATAAAAAGATTCAATTTTAGCAACGTCGAAGCTCACGTTTTCACGACACGTCAAAACTTTACATAAGCAAATACATGAGAGTTTATGTTGAATTTATGACTCAAACGATCACTTCATTATTTATTATTCTCACTTATTTATTCTATCTTTTTACGTCAATATGGGTAAGCGACCATATGAAATAAACTTACCAGTTTAGTTTTAAATAATTTTTCAAGAAAGATTGATCCCTCTTCCTTGCATTTTTTTAGAACTGACTGCACAGATAATCATTTTATTTATCTGAGATAGGAGTAGATTATGCTTTGTTTTCATTAGTGGAAAAATTAAAACGTGATAAAGATAATGGACAGAGGAGAGAGGGAGGCGCAGGAGATTGTTGTTTTCATTTCGAAATGCCACTGCTGAAGTACCACTCCCGGCAAGAGTGGACTGTCTATTCAAATGATGTTGGCATCTCACCTGAATTTCTATCGGCTCCAAGTTTGTGCGCTTCTAGCATATGAGAACAAACCTAACTAAGTGAGCGCCTTAGAAAATGGAATTATTATTTAATAATTTAATAAAAATAATTATTTGAGGGAATAACACGAATTAATATAAATCTTACATCTCAAAAGCTTTTTGCGCAAGATTCTCCACTTATTGAAGTTAGTCAATTTTTGTTTTTGGCAATGTGCATTCCTACTGTCAACTTATTGGAAATTTTTAGCGTAGTGAAGATCATCTTTTTTTTTATTTGACTCGAAATTGACCTCTTAAACTGCAATTTTTGGTGTTGCCGTTCATACTCCATCTATTCTAGTTGGATAAACTCCGTGTGCAATACCAAGTACCAACCTACACTATAGCGACAGTATTCATCAATAAAGCAGGAAATTTATCGGACTCTTCTCGAATTGGGCTAATAAATAAAATGGTTGATGAATTCGAAGCGATTCATGGGAACTGGGGCCCTGTTGGTACAATGTACTTTTTGAGAGATTTTGTTAAATTCGAAAAAGAGTACCAGTGTAAGTCTCTTTTCTTAAATGAAATATGAGGATTAGCTAAGCCATTAACGCCAATAAAAATATTCAATATTATTGCCATTATTCAAGTTGGATCAGCTAAACTTAATAAGAATTCCTCTTTAAAATGTTTTAAACATCGAAGATAGGATTTGAAAAAAAGTGATTTTCAACTTCATCTCGAAATAAAACTTTAGCGGGAGACTATGATTATGACAGCGCGGATGATGGTGATGGAAACATATCAACGACAACAACAACAGCAATAATCACTCCATCAAATAGCGGTTTAGAATTGAGACAAGAAGATATCGAAGCATTTTTAAGCTGGCCAGAGTACAGTATTTGGAATGGATTTGTCTATTTGGGCAGTGATAATGATACGGCTGAGTATAGGTTCGTTACTATATTTTTATAGATTGTGTGGGCAATCATCACTCGATATCCGTAAACGTTTCGTCTGTCTGAGACTAAGAAAATAATGCCTGGAGGATCCAGACTTATTAGGAATCAATTAGCAATCAACCAGATAAGAATGATGGCACAACCGCTCACAATCGAGACAGACGATAAAATGCCCTAAATAAAAAGAACTATTGAATTATTATTGACGTTTGACTTTTTTCAGAAAAAAATTTAAGGAGAAATTGAATTTCAGTGCAAAAAATATAAGCCGCTTTTTTTTTATAACTGCTTATAAAGGAGAATGGTTAATTGATTGGGTTGAAAGAGGAAATTTATTGAAAAAATGGCGAAAAATTGTCGATGATCCGATTTAGTAAGTATTTTTTCTTAATTAAATTCCTATATTTTCAAAATTTTGCAGAAATTTAGCATAAAATAGAATAAAATTACTGATTAAAGATGAGGAGTACAAATTAAATATTTTTTTTAATATCCTGGACGAGTCCAAAAGTCCAAAAGTCTCATAAACTGATGGATTGCTTCAATTAAGCCGGTCATTTCACGCATCAGTCTTCCATGAAGATGGGGTGTTTTTGGATTTAATTGACAATATGACAACTGATACGTGGCAGTCAATATTGGGCACTTTGATTTGTATGGCAGCTGTTTGTTTTCTTTTCCTCAGAAGTCCAATAACTGTTGCAATAGCGACAAGTAGTGTCCTATCAATTTGTATCGGTAAGTTGCAATTATAATTTATAAAACAATAAAATTTCTGAATGAATTTTGGCTGTAACAAAGAAGAGAAAAATTTCTTTCTCTACCTTTGAATCTTTTCTTATTATTTCAATTATTTAAAATTTAAATAGCAAAATTTGAAAATTATGAAAAAAATTCAAATATGAAAGCAGTTCTGATGAATATCGTGGAAAAAGGACTTCGGTTATCAATTTTTAAGTCTACAAGGTAACAAACCATGTGCTTGTAAAAATAGCAATTAATTTCAGTTAACTTATTATTAAAACATGGATTTAAAAAGTACAGTAATGATTAGCCATGATGAATTGTACTAGTGTAAGCAATGAGTCGCTTGGCTGAAGGACAAAAACTGCGCTAATTTTGCAGGCATATTGGGCATTGGATCATGGCTAGGCATTGACTTAGATCCAATAACGATGGCTGCTATGATTATTTCTATTGGATTTAGTGTTGATATACCAGCACATGTATCCTATCACTACTATAAAGCTTGTAAGTTGTAAGCTTGTAAGCCTTTACACCGTTTGTCTGCATAATAATTTGTGTTGGTGCTTGTTAATGTTATATGTATTATTGTGTTTGCGACTCTATAATCGGCAAAAATTCATCCAAAATCGGCCAAATATTTTCAAATCCTTCTTTAACCTTCACCTATATAGCGTCATCATTATGGTTATCCCTCTATAATCTTCAAAGCACCACTTTAATCCGTTACGAATATTTTTTTTAATATTCCTCGAAACCTACTGTATGCCATTAATACTCCTCAAAGCCCCACTAAGTCCACTCTGACCCCACTCTGACGCCTCATAAAGCCTCACTATTTTGCCTCAGTAGTTTGACTGCTGTAATTCTCTTTATGCTATCTTAATCTTTTTTTAAGACAGCTCCTCTCAAATGAATTTCTGAAACCAAGGCACCTAAAAAAAAATTCTTTTTCTAAAATCCTTAAATTTATATGTTCGCCAGAGACGTAAAACTTTTTCTTTTTTGCCATTACTGCCGTAACGCCGCAATTTAAAAAAAAAAATATGCGATTTAAAAATAACGTAAAAATTCGGCACTTTTAGGAAAATTTTTTATTTTAAAAGAAAAGTGGATATCAACCTTTAAATGTTTAAGCAAACTTAAGGTGAAAGCGGTCCAAATGCTACTTCTCAGGCAAGGCTTGGTAATTGCCTCTCTTTAGTGGCGTTTCCAGCAGTTCAAGCAGCTTTATCAACAATTTTCTGTATCATTAGTTTGCTATTCGTTCCAATTTATATGTCTAAGGTGAGGAAAAATGTTTTAGTTTAATTGCTTTATGAAGATTTATCGTTATTGCCATAGCAATCCGGTGTATATTTGTAAATTTAGGTGTTCGTGAAGACGATGGTAGTTTGTGTCTTATTGTGCAATATTCATGGACTTATATTTTTGCCGGCAATATTATCTACTGTGGATCAAATTATCTCAAAAATATGCCGAAATAAACCAAAGCAGAAACAAGGTCCACGAAAGAAACAGCTACGAAGTTTAGAACGGTATCGTATTTCAGCAGCTGATACTGATCCAACCAGAGTTGATCGGCCTACCATTGTCGAATAAATAACTTTTAAAAAAAATATAAGTGAAAAGGACGAGGTTTTTGATCAAAATGCTTAATTTTTGGCAAAATTTACTCAACTAAATTAGGGTGCAATTTTCTTGTTAAATCCAGTCAAACTGGTTGAAAGTCTTTTGTGTTCTTCAAATGAATTGAAGGATATGCTTTTTTTCTTCGAGTGCATATTATTCCTCTTCTTTTATAATTATTTCTTATTTCTTACTTGTATTATACTTATATTCGGCTAAAATTGTTTTCTGGATGATGTTTTGAAATTCTGAAAAATCTCATGCGTTATTGCGTTAAATATTTGTGCTAATTTCGATTGTATTTAAAAAATCAGTCATTTATCACCAATGATTTTTTTAAATCCGAACTTGTCAATTTCTTGAGTTTTTTGAGTTTTTTTCATCTATTTTAAGACCTTTGGATACTTTACCGAAATTAATTGGGATTAGGATAGGATCTTTTCCTATTTTCACTTGGCTTACCAGACATCGAAAATATGACTGAAATGGGCCAAGAAAGTCGAAACTATTTTTCAAGCATAGCAGCATTCATTCGGAATCGTAATCTTAATTTATAATCATTTAAAAGTTACCAGAAATACCAGGAAAAGATAATTAAGGTAGTTCATAGCTTTCAGTTTGGCAATAATGCATCAATGCGGTGAATGAACTACAGCATTTTATAAATTTTGGGAAAATTATAGTTATTAGCAAACAATTTAAAAAATTTTTACGAAAAGATAACCTCAAAAATTGACGATGCGATTCATATAATTTTCTATAAAATATGTGACATATATGGCATTAAAATTTGTGATTTCTATTTAGAAATGGTAGCGCAAATAAGTAGGTAAATTTTTTCACGATTTCGTAGATTTTAGAATCTACAACAGCGAATCTTTAAATTAATTTGAGAATCACTGAGTGCTCTTTTAAGGTGACAGACAGTGCGTGTAAATTCTTCAAGAAAACGATGATAAACTTCTGGCGATAGTAAATAAATTTTTAGTGGATGAAATTTTCGAGTTTTGATTTACGTCAACCTAAGTTAAAACCCATTTTCCGAAGCTCTTATGTCTCGCATATTTTTTTCTATTATTGTAAAAAATCCACAATTTTATAGTAAAATTGATTCAAAATTCCATCTTTGAATGAGTTTCATATTTCTAAAATAAAAAACTATAAAATAAAAATATAAAACTATAACTATATTTTTGTTGAATTTAGTTAAATAAGAAAAAGAACTATGCGAAATAAACGTGTAAAACGATGAATTAATAATTTTTTTGGTCGTCTTTTATTTTTTCTTTTTTCTAAAATTATTGCCGAAAAAAACGAGAAACAAGTTTAAACTGATTGAGCCACAAGGTTCGTCTCCAAACTATTTCCGCCAAAAAAGCAGTTTTGATGATTTGTAGTTCCAAAGAAGTGAGCGATTATCGTATTATTGTTTATCACTTTTAACGTATTCGTTTCTTTTCTTTACATAATTTTGATCGAAATTAGAATTGGCTTTAATATATTTATTTATAATATATTTTGCTTCGAAGACTTTAGGCTGCGGGCCACAACGCCATGCATACTCGCTGAATATCGATTTAAAAAATGGAATAAAACGAGTGAATATAAAAAATGGAAAGAATATATTATTATAGGACACTGGGTTATTTCGGAGTGGCGGTGTCGAGATCGTATTCGCAGCAAGTGTTAGCCTGTCGTTCGAAAATCCGGGCGCTATCCGCAATTATATTCAATACCTCAGCCACCAGTAGTTCTTTGGCAAAATTCGTCTGATCCATTCAACGAGCGAACCCAACCAAAAATTGTGAGCGTTCTTAGGAAAAAAAATTCTTATTAGCGATTGTGTAAAAAATTTATTTCCTTAAATTTATGAATCTCTTACAGAAAATTTCACAAATTAATAAAATTTTTATGGAGTGAACAATTTCATTGATGGCAGATAATTAGCATTTTTTTACGGATTCATATTTATAAGGTTATTTCAAATATGGATTTTTTTGCAAAAGGTCGTCATGCAATTTAATTTGTCAAAGGCTAAGAATTTATAAATGCATGATTTTTTAATTTTATTTTCTTATTTACTATATAACGCATTAATGCAATTGATACAATAAAAAGATTGCATCTCTTCTTAACAATTTCTATACATATCCGATTTTGTCGCTTCAGGAATTTGGGCATATAGTATTAACGTATTATATAGAAAATAAGGAAATATAAAATAATTAATAATAATTAAAATAATTAAAAATAATTAAAAAATCATGTATCATATAAATTCGATTTTGGCTCCGTAGGAACTAAGGCATATATCCAATTTTGTTACCTTAGGATATATTTAGGTATATATCTGATTTTGTCACTTTAATATTTTATATATATATATTACTCTATGGGGATAGAATTGCTCAGAGAGATTGCTCAGTTTGGAGCATCGATGTAGATTCGGCTCCTCGCAGGAGTAAACCTGTACAAAAATGCGACTCATCTGCATTTCTATTGCCAAGGGACTCCTCCTTGGTATATTGCCCAATGCGACAAGCCAGTGGAGCGAGTTTAATCAGTAATGGTGAGGACTTTTAAAAAAAATAAAAAAATATTGCAATCTTTCAGTGCAAATTTGGTTAATTGCTTGCAATAAGTTTTTCTATAAATTTTCGTTGTAAAAATTAGATAATGATTACCTTTTGTTTTTTTCGGATTTCTTTCTCAAAATATTTTTTTTTCCATTTATCTTTTTCAAACTCTTTTAATATTCGTTACGCTATATTTGCCAGATTTTTCCTGAAATAATATACTGAATATTGCAGAAGAAGAATTTTTCCAATAATCCTTTAAAAAATAAAGAAATAAAAAACTCGTATTTAAAATGGTTAAATAACTTTAATGAATTTTGAATTCTTAAGGATTGTTAAATGGGCATTAAGCGTTTTTCTTCTGGATAGATAGGCATTGACGTGGAATCGAATTCCATTCAAAGGGTATAGGTGAAGGTCGTAATAAATTTTTACCGCAATGAACGAAAAATGGCACTTCAAAAAGTGGTAAAAAAATTCTCCAAATTGTTAAATTTGTATGAATAATCAGAATTTCCAAAAAATAAATCAGAAACTTTTGCTTAGCTAAATATATCAGAAATATGAGATGATACCATAATTCCCTAATATCACTATACCACTAATTCACAAATTTGAGGAATATCAAAGGCTAAAATTGGAACTAAAAAAGATGCGGGATATAGAGGTCAAAGTAATTCCAGTGACAATTGAGGTACTTGGAACTGTGGCTCTTAAACTAGAAAAATGGCCTCAGCAAATTCCAGGAACGATGTCAGAGATTTCTAACCGGAAGAGCTATTAGGAAAACAGCCAAGATACTACGCAAACCCCTCAATGTGCTAGGTTTCTGGTAAAGGACCCGAGATTGAGGATGATCATGATCACCCACAAAGGGTAAGAAAAAAGTTTTGTTATATATGACGATTTAATTTTTAAAATTTGCAAGAGCATTTTTCGCATCGCTAAACTCCTCCATCAATTATAACTCAAAACTTGATTTATAAAATTTTGATTCTTCAAGAATTGAGAAATAATTATTGTTTGGAACAAATTATTCGGATATATAGCAGACGCCCCATCTGTATCCATCAAATTTTTACCTTTTGTAATTTTAACCCATAACCCATAACATTTCATCTATTCTGCTATCCAAAGCACTCATTATTACTCTCTGCTTAGTTATTGTTTAGTAATTAAGAGATAACGAGTTCAGATGGGCTGAAAATTTTGCTGCCAAAAATGTTACTAATAGACCGCAAGAAATTAGTGAATAATTAGACTTTCCTTATTCGAACTTTAAGGAGAATCCAGCAAATTTTCCTTATTTTCTATCCTTTTTCAATTACAATTGAATGAATAGAAAAGATTTTACAACAATTTGCACAATTTTATATTTTGCTGACCTTATTTTCACCGACACAAATGTTGAAATGTTGAGTCACTGAGTAATTAAAAAAGTAATTCCGAAAATTTATCGAATTTAATTCAATAATAATTCAATGAACACTGAATTTAAACGAATTATTTTAAAAGATAGAAGTATAAAAGTTTTACAAATGAATCTTCAAGGTTATCATAGCAACTATACCTCAATATGCGAAGGCTAATCCGCGTCTAGTGAAGTATAAAGGAAGGATAATTTAGAGATTTTGAGTTATCCACGCAACCAGTTTCAGTCAACATTGCAAGGCCGATGGTTTAGTAGCACAACGCCTAAGGTTATGAAGGATTTAAGAATTACGACATTTTTCATGTCTCCATGCCCCCTTAAAATTGCAAGGATCTCACGTAGAAATCAGCTTATAAATGCGAAAGTCGTGAAAAGAAATACAAAACATGGAATAAGGGATTTTATAAGGAAATAAGGCGTCTCCGAATTTCCTTAGCTCATTTTCAATTTAGTAAATTATTTCAAAGGCGCAGTAAACGGCTGATGAAACATTTTACGGAATATTTTCGCCATTATAAACCAATATTAGTTTATAATCTTTTTTCTCATTATTTATTATCAAAAATTTTTTATTTTTATCAAATTTATTTTTTATTAAATTTAAGAAACCAATGTTTAATCCTTTAATTCATTCTATCAGTGAATTTTGGAAGAACGAGCGCTTCCCCTAATTCCTTCTATTTTTTTCTTAAATGTCCTCTAAAAATGATTTTTTTTTTTTCATTTTTATTGTTCATTTTCTTATGATCAATTTTAGTAATTAAATAAATTGCTCGATATAAGTAATACAGGAAATAGAACAGCTCACTGGCTTGTTGTTTCATTTTGGAGCGCCTATGCTGCGATTCTGTTCCCGATAAGATTAAACTTTTTTTGCTTTTCGAAAATCCGGGCGATTTTACTGCCAAATGAATCCTTGTTAAAATTTGCCTGATCTGATAAACCAGTGGAGCGAAATTAATAACAAATGGTGAGCGTTCTTTAAAATTTTATATATATATAATGCGTAAATAAATAATGTAGAATAATTTGCGATTTCCAAAAATACGTTTTTGTTTATCAAATTTTTTAATTTTTTTGCTCTTTGGATCGTTATTGGATCTTTTTATTTAAACGGTATCAGCAAATTCGTCCAGCGTATTTGCTGAGATAATAATGTCGTAAATCGAGGAAAATGCCTTAATTTGGTCAAACATTTGTCGGAACTATAAATATGAAAATATAAAAGAAATATGAAAAACAAGAAATTGTTGATAAACAGATTGTCAACGCTTTGTTTTTTATCATTATCAACGTTTTTTAATTTATTTTCAAAAATTCGGAAATTTTGGACGTATTGGTAGAAGGAATTCTGCCCGAAACATTTCAACTATTGCCGTCGAATTGAAAAATGTCGAAATCGGCTGAAAAATCTTCGGTGTATTCGGGCAGAATGTCTGCTCAGGTATTTTAAACTTGGTCTTTCATCAAAAATTTCGCACTTTAAATGAACTAAAGTGGAGCGATTAAAGAATTTTCTTTTACTTTGTCTTAAATTAACACCGAATGTTTCGAATCGCTTTTTGGGTTTAAATTTGTCATTTTGTCGACGTACAAATTTTGATATTGCAAATTTCAAAAAATCTGAAATTTCAAAACCGTTTAAAATACAAAAAATAATCCTTTGCGAAATGCTATAATTTATTGGAATTATTAAAAACTTCAATAAGATTTTCATTTTGCTTTTAAATATTTTATTAAAATTCCCCTAAATTATCTAAAAATTTTTTAAATTCTTCTTTTTTGAATTTTAATAATTTTTATGTTCTGAAATTTTTTTTATAGATTTTTAGAAGATTTTAGATTTATTTAGAAGAATTATCAATCATTTTTCTTAACAATTAATAAATAATTTTCAATCTTTTGTCAAAAAAAAGTTGCCAAAAAAAATTTAGAACTTTAAAAAATTCTTTGAAAAATCAGTAGATTTAAACTTCTGAATAATTTATTTTTCAGTTTTTTTTATTTTCCAATTTCTAAATTAGCTAAGAAAGTTGAGAATTTATGAAATTCATAAGCGTTTAAAGTGCTGATAATTCTAAACCTAATAATTATAAATTGAAGAAGATAAGAATGAAGAAACTATTGAATGAGAGAACGAAGCTATGAGAAGAAACCGGTTGCCAAATTTTTAGGCTATTCGCCAAATTAAATGATAATTTTCGAAAACTATTTTTATTATGTTTAAAATATTTCTTATTCAAGTTAAATGCATTATTGATAAAATCGCCTCCAATTTATTCGTTTTTCTCTTTTAAAGCTTATATACTCGCCAATTAAGCCCAAATTATTTAAAATGCGCCAAATGTAGGCCTTTTTCCTTTTCATCAATATTTCCAAATTATTAGAAATTTTTAATTTTTATTATTAAAAAATTATAAATGACCTTAATTTCTTATTTCTTCGTAGCAAATTTATTTTTTAAGATTATCATTTCTGGTTAGCTGCGTTATCGGAGAAAAATTTTTCCAGAAAGTAGTAGGGATGCGTAACCAGCAATGTTCAGATTTTTGGAAGACACATTCAGAGTGGAACCTTAACAATGCTTCTAATGCTTCAAAATGGCAGTAAAAACAAGCCACTGAGCCATTCTAATGTATGAAAAAAATTATAGCACAAAAAAATTTAATCATTTGAAAAATAATCGGAATCGGAAAAAAATATTATAAAAAACATTAAATCCTTTTAATTTCAGAATAATACCTTTAATAGTTTTTTTTTTCTAAGAGTTCTCACCACTGCTGGTTGAACTCGCTCCACTGGCTTGTCGCACTAGACAAATATACCAGGGAGTCCCATGGCAGTAGAGGTACAGATGAGTCGCCTGCATCACCCGGAGATTTACTGCTGCCGGAAATAGAACCTCAGCATTGGCGCTCCGAATTGAGCAACAAATTTATTAATTAAAATTTATTTGTTTATTTAGAATGAACGGCACTAAACGGCAAATAAATTCATTAAACGCATTCGACATATTCAATAAATTAGAATAATTCAGAAATTTTTAAGGATTAAAGTTGACTAACGTAAATGAATTGTAAAGAACAAATATTAAACATTTTAGAAGGAATTTACAATTTATTTATTTGTTTAATAGTGTTTTGGAAATCGAAAGAAATTGCTTATTTACCAGTTTACAAGTGGAAAATTCGCCGAACGCATAGTGCAAAAGTATTATTTTTTTATTCGTTCTACTCCATCAATGCCGAATTTGAGAAATTATTTAAAATAATTTTTGAAATTTATTCAAAATACAAATTTTTTTCGGTTATTAAATAAATTAAAAAAAGTTTCTGCAGTCAATTTATTTATCTTAAAAATCTCATTTAAGAAATGAAATTTCGGAATTGGAAAAAAGATATTACAAAAAACATTTGGCTAACATTAAAATCCTTCTAATTTCAGAATAAATACCTTTAATATTTTTTTTTCTAAGAGTTCTCACTATTGCTGGTTGAACTCGCTCCGCTGGCTAGTCGCACTAGACATATATACCAGGGAGCTCCTTGGCGATAGAAATACAGGCGAGTCGCCACCATCACCCAGATTTTTGGAGGCTTACTGCTGCCGGAAATAGAACCTCAGCATTGGCGCTTCGAATTGAGCAACAACCCACTGAGCCATTCCACCTCCTCACTAATGCTATAATATTAGAACAAAAAAAATGCTAAGCTCTTAAACTCTAAGAAGTTTCAGTGGAATGGAAATGATATGAAAAAGCAGAAAAAGCGAAAATTTCCTTCCAAGGACACTTTTATAAATATGCCCGCTCCGTTGACTTACCGGGTCAGATAGATTTTACCAGTGAGTCATTTGGCGATATCACCCACATTTTTTGCTTTCTTTATTCATGTTTATTTTCACTCCTTAACACTCCTTCACCCAAAATGAATGCAACGACCTATTGAGAATTCCCTTCGATCTCTGAAGGCAGCCTAGTAATTATCATCCATTGCTCGATTGTTTGGTACCAATTTCAAAAAAGTCTTGTTTCTATTACAATATTTCTAGTGTCTAACCACTTTTTCAAAAATTTTCTACGTCATAATGCATTATTATTTCGATATATTCGAAGAGATATTGAATATTTTATCAATAAATCATCGAACAATTTGATTATTTTCCACGATTCCCCACGCTTATAATTAATAAATAATGAAAGTCTATGGCTGGTAACTAACCGCTTTCTTTATTCATGTTTTTCAAGAAAACAGGATTCTAAAAAAACGAATCATCGTCGTTCACGATGATTTGTTAGATACACTTTCTAAAACATATGATAAAATCAGCGATGACGTATTGCGTGTATGTCATGGGGGAAAATTTAATCATTTGAAAGCAAACCTACCACACTTGGCGTAAACAAAGGAAATAATTTACGATATTTGATTCATGAGAGAACAAAAAAACTATATATTGGCTCAATGATCAATTCTAAAGTTTAAAAAATTTTGAGTGAATTTTCGAATAGAAAATATTTATTTAGCATTATTTTCAGTGATAATTTTGCCGTAAAAATTCGTTGAAAAGCCAATAGATATTCCTTAGTGCTCATTTTTTCATTTTTAAGTATTTTAAAATTTTTCGAAAATATTTTAAACCGAGGAGAAAATTTTCTTCGAGAAGGCACATTTGCTGGAAATCTACAAAATTCATCAAAATAACGAGTTAGTGAGATTTCATTTTATTGTTGTTCCATGCATTTTCATGATTAATTTCAATTATCTAGTACGAAGGATGTTTGAGTTTTATACAACAAATTATAGCATTTCATCATTTCATCATTATTTTGCATTAACTTTTGCTTTTTTCCCGAGTGGTATAATTCTTGAATAAATATTTCACTAAAATATATTACTTTAATAAAATAAAAAATTGAAGATGATAAACGATTTGATAAAAAATTGTTTTATCATTCTTTGTGGAGAAATTTTAGGAAAGAAGGTACGTATTTTCTTAAGTTAACCTTTTAAACAATTTTCAAGTAGTGATACATTGCTTCTTTTGGTAGCGAATAACGAGTGAGTTTCTTTATTGGCTTGCCACATTTCTTGAATTTACCTTCAAATCCTTTTTTGCAGTTCACTCCCTCAGAATTTCAAGAATCATTAGGTGATACTTCTCCTGAGACCAAAGATATTAAAATGAGTTCAGTGATCCTTCACCTAGCATACGCACAGTTGGTAGTGTGGTTAGTAAGATTTTTTTGTGAGAGCGCTTGCCATTTCCCATTTGTCCAAGGAGGGAAATTCTTTTTTTTTTAAATTTATCAGGCCTGATAAATTTTGCTCTAAATGAGTTGATTTGATGATAGGATTTTTAGAAGATAAATCCACTGGAAGTGGGACAAAATGCCGGCATTAGCGCTATAAAATGATGTCTTTGGTTGTCTTTGGTTTAATTATAAGCCTTGGCCAAAGCGAATGACTAAAAAAACTCATTTAACCATTCCACCGTTTATTTATACATCGATAAAACAACGGAAAGAATCTTCATAGCAAAATAATTGTTCGCTTAAAAACATGTTCTTTACAACAATATAATAACAATAATATTTAATAAAAAATGTGATTTGATACGAAGAAAAGATGGTTAGCACAAGATTTAAAATAAAATTTTTACAGCAAATATAATGAAAAATTCAGTAGCGAATTTATTTATTTCACCGAAAGATAAACCAAATTATTCAATTTATTCTTCGAAAACTGATACAAAGCTCATCAAATTTATCAAAAAAGCTTACATAAGATGGGCATATTTTATCGCAACTCACCTTACTCTGACAATTGTCATATGTATTGCAGCATCATGCATTTGTGCTGTTAAAGTACTCAAAACTCCGTAAGTTCCTTAAATTCTTCCAGATTTAAATGAATGCTATTCATTGTAATAGGGTATTATAATTAAAGCTTGCTTTTTTCCAAGACTTATTTTTTTTATAAGTATTAAGTTTGAAATCAAAGATAAATGGAAGAAAACAGTTTAGGAGAGTAAAAGCCATAATTGTAGTGCCGCAGAGCCAAATTTTAAAAACCTTATTTCCGTCTTTTTTTAAGGTGTAATAAGTTAAGATTATGAAAATTCAAGGTACAAAAATGATCCAATTGGACATATTCCTTATGGTGCTCGTGCTCGTTATGAGTATGCGGTGGAAGAGGAGTTTAAAAATTTAAATGGAAGAAGTATTCTTCTAATAATATCAGTCTTAGCAAAAGATAACGGATCAGTGTTGACTAAGGAGATTCTCGAAGAATCAGTCATGGTTTACTTTTCATATCGCATTAAACTTCTCAGTTTTTCCAACTATTTCGGAATATCGAATTTTTCTTGTTTATAATAATTAAATTCTTATTTAAGTTCTTCGCTTATTTTTGATAATTTCTAAATCCTTTGAAATTTTTTATAGATCGATGATATAATATCAAATAATTTCACTATAAATAATCATATAACTGGCCAAGACGAATCGTTCAACAAATTTTGTCGAAGTTTTTGCCTTATAAACGAACCAGTCCGATTATTTTATGTAAGCTTTACCAACAATAAATCTTTTAATAAATTCCCTAATAAGAAAAAATTTTCGAAGTTTTCTAGAAATTCTTTTAATTTTTTCTGTTTTTAAAATGATTTTATGTTTTTTTTTAGCGAACATTTGTTATTCAACAAGAACGATTGAAATCAAATCAACCAGTAAATGAACGTATTAATCTTGACTATCCAACTGCCACAATATATGGTCGACGAATTAATCTACAGGTTCCCTTCAATAAAAATTTTGGCAAAAAATTTGCGGAAGAAATAACTTTTTACAAGCTTTATAAGTTTTTCTTATTATTATTTTTCAGTTGAACTTCAATGGAGTTATTTTATCGAATAAAAATTCGACAAATATAAATTCAACTTCCACTATAACAAACATGGATTATGTAAAAATGTTAACATTCTTTTATCGTGGCGAAGGTTCAGCTGAAACAACTGAAGAAGACGTTCGTAAATATGAACTCGAGATCGTAAAGTTCTTTGAAAAGTTCGTTCCAATTAGATCATTAAATTTCTAAAATAAGTAAAAGGAAATTATCATGGAATGGAACATGGCATCCTTGTTGAATGTAATTTTTATAATATAATTTTTCAAAAATATCTTTCTGGCAAATTCAGTGAATATAAGCCAAAATACGTTCGCACATCGATCCTCTCGTTCTTCTACATTGACGCTGAGGTGACACGAGGCGGACTAAGCATGATGCCATATCTCGCTGTTGGCTTCGCTATAATGGTTATTTGCTCCAGCATTTCCACAGTGATGAGTGCTGCATACGTGGGACAATTTAGTTACCACAAAGTTAGTAGATTTTTTTTCGCTCCTATTTTTAATGATTTTGCAATTTCATGACTTTATTAATTCGTTATTATCAACTTTTATTTAGATTTACTTGGCGATATTTGCTTGTATTTGCCCACTTATGGCCAACGTTACTGCCATAGGCGTATTACTTTATTTTGGTGTTCGTAATGGTTCGATATTATGCATTACTCCATTTTTGGTTTTAGCTGTCGGTAAGATTTCATCTTATCAATCGAGAATTACTGTTTTTTATTTCTTATTTGGGATTAAAAAGATTAAAAATACAACTGTCAGTTGTATTCTTCAGGAGAAAGCTAATTAATTTGAGGTGATAGTTTTTTGAATTTTTCTTCTTCTTCAAACAGCTGTCACCATTACTGATTAGGCTGGCTCCAGCGGCTACAAGGGTAAGACGCTTCCAAAAAACAAAAAATAATAAATTTTACGATATGAATATTCTTCTTCTTCTAGGAAGAGAGCCATCTTTCACCATTGCTGGCTGGCCCCGCTGGCTATAAGAGTAAGACATTTCCAAGCTGCCCGGTCCGACGCCATCGTTAGTAATAAAGTAATAGAAGCTATTCCTTTTTCCATCGTCTAAGTCCATACATCGCTGGTCCCTCTATGCGTTCGAAATTTTTCCTGACTGTATCAGTCCAGGTCTTGATTGACCCACCTCGTTTTTGCTGCCAACCATCACACGGTTTAGTAAGTAATGAAATATGCGTCAACTCCTGTGGTGGACGACGGAGAATATGCCCTAACTAGCGAAGGCTACGCTCTGTGATAACATTATTTATGCAAATGATATTTGAACGAAGATGGATGCGATCTTGTGATATTTTATCCGCTCGACGGATCCGTAATATGTACCTTAGACAAGAATGGTCAAAGATAGATCATTTCTTAATATCTTCCACTCTCATTGGCCATGTCTCAGAACCATATAGCAAAATCGAACGAATCACGTCTATATAGATGTCTATATAGATGTGAACTTTCGTTTTAATGGTAATTTCACGACAGCTCCATAAAGATTTCGTCAACCGGAAGAACACATTTCTAGTTGCCGTTGTCCTGACTATAATATCGTCTTTTGCCTGGCCATTTGGTAATAGAGTGGACCCAATGTATTTAAAATCGGATAATGAATTTTTTGAATTTTTAGGCGTCGATGATGCTTATCTAATGATTCACGCGTGGCAGAGAATAACTCATGAATGTAAATTATATCCTATCAAGGAAGATTGTGTTGCGCATCGAATTGCACAGGTTCTTTTACTTTATTGAAAAAACAGGTATCTTATTCTCAAGCTTCGATGCATTGAGAAGCTAAAGCACTAAAGCACCTTTAAGATGAAAAAAGGCAAATTATCGGATCGCTTGTAGAGCGAGAATCGTTTTCAGTGGAAATTCATCTGATCTAACAAATATATTATTATTGAAAAAACTTTACAAATTATTATCATATCATTATTATTTATCATTATTATCATTATATTGTTTGTGTTTTGTCATCATTATTTTTATTATTAGTTTTTAATAATACCATATTTCGTTACCACTATTACCACTATTATTATTATTTTTTTATATTATTATTACCATTATTGTTATTAATTATACACGATATTTCATGGCTTTATCAACCCTATCATCTTTGGTTCCCTCTGTGCAGGTATAAACCTGCTTTTCAGAAATTCGACTCACAATCAGAATTAGTGAGCTCTTTTAGAAAAAAAAACACACTATCATCAAAATATTTTCGTGCATTTAATGTTGTTATGGATCTTGTTAAGGTTTTATCAGAAACTGGTCCAGCAATCCTAATATCAGCACTAACAAATATACTTGCTGATGGCGTAGGTGCGTTTACAGGCTCACCTGAGATTACTCTCCTTTGCATTGGAAATATGGCATCGATTTTTATGGATTTTATCTACCAGGTGATTTTTTCTTGATAAAATTTTCATCTATATAGCCCTTATGTTATTCGAATCAAAATGATCTCGCAGTACCTCCAAGCGAATATTATTCGAATATTTTAAATTATTTAAAAACTTTTTTTTTATAGTTGGATTAGCTTAATTTTCTATTTTATATTTCCCTAAATTCATTGATTTCTTTTGATTTTAATTTCAAAGAAATCCGTTAAAATTTCCATATTTCTAGATTAAAGCTAATTTTAGTTGACATTCTATACAGCAGTAATGTGTATTGCTGGCCAAGCAGAAATGTCAAATGAAATCGGTCGTTTGAATATTCAGTCGATAAAAGTTGATAATGAGTCGCAATTAAGTCATGTCAGTCGAATTTATCAATTCTTAAAATACTTTCTATAATATTTAACTGGTTGAAATTACATAATATTTATCTATTTTATATAAATAACATTAGAAACCTCAAAATTTTGTATTCTAAAAATTTCGAAAAATTTGAATAATCAGTTTCAAAGAATCAGTTTTTTCAAAGATTGGCTACGAAGAACATTTTGGTAATGCTTTTTAGCGATAAGGGATTATTGATAATGATATGAAGTTATGAAAATCCATTGTTTAGATAGTAGACAATGCCCGTGACCAAATAAAATCGCAGTGCTCGTGGCTTCTCAATAAATATGTTGAACTACTCACTAACAAATTCGTCGCGCTCATTATCTTTTGTCTTTGGATTATATTTATTACATTCTCGATACTTGTAAATATTATATCAATATTTATCAATATTTAAATTACTAACAATAAAGTTAATAAAATTATAAATTCCCAAATTGGTTATAGGATTATTTCTTCAAGTGAACTTATTTGCAGGGAATAAATCGAATAAATATTGAACTAAAACCAACGGAATTATTTCCAAACGATTCTCCTTTAATTGAAGTAAGCTAATTCTCAAAATTTCTCATATATATAACATCATTCACCACATCTGGTTTGTTACTGGCCGTACCAGAGGGCCAGTTGTTGATAGAAAATCGAGGAGGCTCCCAGAGCAATCTTGATTTCGTTTTTAATAACAACCTTGTTCTCAGCAAGAGGCAAGCAATAACAAAAATCGGGTCTACTATGGATGATTTTAGTCACATAAATGTTTAACGATTGACATGCAAGCATTAATTATTTTGTCAAATTTATTATTAAATTAGAATTATTAAACAATTAAATTATACATTCGTGATCAGTGAAGTAATCATTCGATATGAAAGAGAATATTTGCAGGCAAGCAATTTAATAAAGGATTATATAGTGCCACAATATACTGTGGCCCATTTCTATGTGAACAATCCGGGAAATCTTTCTGATCCACTGCGCTTGCAAAACCTAAGTAACATGGTAGCAGAACTTGAGAATCTAAATTCATCTTGGGGAACATCGTGGGGCGCAGAAAGCTCATATTATTTTATTCGCGAATTTCTCGATTATGAAAGGCTTTATCAAGATAATGGTGAAATCGTTGAGAATGGTATATGATTACTTCACTTTAAATATAAAACATTTACTTTGAAAATATTGCTTTGGGCAAATTAATCGTGAAGATAGTCTCTCATTTAATTTTATAGTAAGCGAATTACTGCAGAGTTCGAAAAATAACCAAAATAGTAAAAGCTGAAAAAATTCATAAGTACTGTAAAAATCGTTTAGAAAGAATGTTTCTAGTTATCGTTAATTCTTTAGGAATGAACCAAACTAAACAGCCATTCAGTGAGCAAGATTTGAACGATTTCCTGGACTGGCCGGAATATAAAAAATGGCGTGGTTTTGTTCATCTAAACAAGAAGTTCGTTATCTTAGCTGATAAATTTTTTAAATTATCTGTTGAATATAAATTTGACTTTTAAAATTTGAAGATGCTTTGAAACTCTGAAGGCTTAGTTTCATTCCCATTTTTTTTTTAAAGAATCCTCACCATTACTGTTTAAATTCGCTCCATTGGTTCGCATTGAGAATATGCCAAGGAGTCCCTTGGCGATAGAAATACAGGTGAGTCGCCAGCATCACCCGGATTTTTGTACAGGTTTGCTCTCCTGTGGGGAATCGAACTTCAGCATCAGCGCTCCCAACCCACTGAGCCATTCTATTCCTCAAGTTGATTCCCATATCTAAACTTCAATCGCTTTAAATTTCAATTAAACTTGTAAAATTAATTCTAAATCCTAAGAAGAGGCCGAGAGAAGGCTAAAAGAACTGCAGTTCTAATATTGGTTTCATTTATTTTATGTTAAAAAAATGATTCTTCTTTCAGCGGAACATTGCAAAGATTCTTTTTTACAACTGCTTATTATGGTGAAAATTTGAAACGATTCCCAGAAAAATCCAAATTATTATATGCTCTGCGATCAGTAATCGACAAATATAAGTAAATTTTACCATTCACTACCATTTGGGTGGAATTTGTTCCGATGATATATCAAATGATAAAAGCAGTTCTATCCAAACCATTCTCTTTATTTCTATCCTCATAAGAATTGTCGAAATTTTAATCTATTCCCCTGAAGTTGAGACGCTGAAAGCTGATGAATGAAATGAATGGCATCAGCTATCCATTATTTTCTTAGTTTCGTAAAATTTTCTTGATTTTCATTCATATCTTTTCATATCTTTAGTGATAAATTCAATGTTTCTGTTTATACTGATGATGGCATTTTTCTGGACTTAATCGACAATATGCCTGTAGATGCTTGGCAGTCGGCTTTGGGAATACTTCTATCGATGGCATTTATTTGCTTCATCTTTCTCTATGACACATTTACCGTTATCGTTGTATCAGCAGCGATATTGTCCATTATGACAGGTTCGCTTCATGCAACTATTTAGTTCATAAGCAAAAGTGGAAAAACGAATAAGCGAATTATTTTAATACAAAAAAAAGATCTATGACTGGCCTTTCCTCCTGTTTAAAAGCTTTATTTATGTTAAAAAACGAAATGTAGTCTCGTCCACCTGAATTACTCTATCGATAATAGTTAAATTAAACTTAAGGCATGACTGGAGTAGTGAGTTGGTTTGGTGTTAACTTAGAACCGATCATGATGGCTGCACTACTTATATCGATGGGTTTTAGCGTTGATATTCCTGCTCACGTTGCTTATCATTATAATGTCGCTGGTAAATTTTCGAATTTTTTTCTATTTTTAGTAAACTTGAGTAAACTTTCAGAGATTCGTTTAAAAAAAAATTATAATTTGATTTTGATTCGAATTTTGATAATTTTGATAATATAATATTTCTCTTAGAACTAATTTTGCCATTTCAGAATCTCATTCGAATGATCCTTTAACAGTGGAGCAACGTTTACGAAAATGTTTCAGTGCCGTTGCTCTTCCTGCTTTACAAGCATCTCTCAATACAAATCTCTGTATAATTGGACTGGCACTTATTCCACTTTATATGGCTCAGGTTTTATTTCTCTATATGAATTTTAGAAATATTCCATCATCTAAATAAAGGAATCTTATAAACTTTACTGTTTCCTTCGTGCTAATGCTAATAAGCAAGTCGATTCGGGTGATTCTGGCGACTCGACGCAATTCTATTCCTAAATAACTCTTTGGCTAAATTTATCTGAACCTATAAGTCAGCTGCACGAGTCTAACCGGAAATGGTGGAAGCAGCATGCGGAAAAGATAAAGATAATTTTGTGTCAGTTGCAAAATACATAATATTTGTTAATTGCAGGTGATTGTAAAAATGTTAGTAACATGCATATTGTTATGTGTAATTCATGGTCTTATAATTATTCCTTGTATTTTTACATTAATCAATATAATCTCGAAAAGTTTTGCGAAAGAGCGGCGGAAAGTCGAAAGTGTTTCATCAAATTCCTTTACTTAGAAGGAAATGTTTGCTGTATGTATTGTGATTATGAAATATTGTAATTATGAAATTTTGTAAAAATAAAATTGTCAAATTTTTCATGCATCAATGGATCTCTCGAAGAACGTAATCTCCTAAAGTGCCTAAAAACTTCAGATTATTTGTGCTAATGGCCGGCCATGTTGCTCTGAGCATTAATGCAGGCACTATAAGTTCGATCTTCTGGCGGAAGAAGTGAAATTTTTTAGGAGAGAGACGTTTATTTTTTAGTTCATCGAAGTCACTTAGGGGGTTATATTCGACGATGAATATTACAAAGAATTTCGAGAAAAGTTTTTGTATGTATAAAAATAATAAAGAAGTTGGATTATCGCTAAAAACTGTGTAAAAAATCGACACCAAAATCTTCAAAAAGCAAAAGCAAGCAAAAAATGCGAAAAGGCCTTTGTATACGAGCCTGAACCAAACATTTTTGTTGTGAGCCGAGGCCTGAAGTTAAGGTTTTGAAGTTAAGTGATTGATGGATAGAATGCCAACGCACTTTTGTGTGTATGAACCTATGAACCTGAAATTAATGCTACAGCAACTGATGAGTATTTCAAATAGGAAAAATAAGTGCTATTATTATTGAATCACTGTTATTATTGAAACTTTATTCGATTTCTCTGTTTAATTTTATTTCTAAAACAAACATGATAAATTTCTGATAAACATGTCTGATAAATGTTTAGCAAAATGATTTTTAAAACGGCAATTTCAATGTACTTATCATCGTGCACATGAGGTACTTCGGGAAAAAGACAGCTTAGCTCCTTAATATACAGCCTTTGTTTCTTTCTCTGAAATCTAGTTAACTCTGTTATTTATCCTCTCCCGACTGAGCAAGCCGGTCCTTCTAACAGCTCTCACCATTACTAGTTAGGCTAATTTCTCCACTCGGCTGTATAGATGCTTTTATTCGTTTTTATGGTGATTTCACGATGGCTCATATAAAGGTTTTGTCAACTGGAAGAACGCATTTCTAACTACTGCAATCCGGGTTGTAATATCGTCTTTTGCCTGGCCATTCAGTATTAGAGTGGATCTAAGATATTTATAATGAGGCACTTCCTCAACTGGAGCAATTCTAATCTTGAGCAAGCCAGTCTAAAAATTAAGAAATCGCTCCATTTCAGAATTTGCATTCAAAACTTTTCTTTCTTTAATTCCATTCTTATCAATTCCCAGTACTTTATGTTTGTTTTTGCTTAAAACCAAAATAGACGCCATTTTAATCCTTCAATACTTCACCTAAGCATTGTTCTGCTTCCTCAATGTCTGATTAAATCTCGGAATATCCCACTGAAACATTAAGAAATTTCAAAAATACTTCTCGAATATGCTACATAATTTCCCGTTAAATTCTTTCAGCCTTACCTCACTATGCTTATTTCACGAATAGGCTCTTCATGAACTGCGATATTCCTGCTTTCCCCCTTATATATATATATATATATATATACTTTCTTCTTCAAATAGCTGGTTAAACCATTTCCAAGTTTCTTAGATGCCATCTGTAAGTAGCATAAGCCACTATATTGCTGGGCCGCCTATAAGTTTGAAAACATATCAGACCAGAACCTGGTTGGGCCGCCATGTCTTCGCTGCTATCGTGTGGCCTCGCGTATAGAAAGAGATAAGTAAGTTAATTCCTGTGATAGATGACGAATAACCTTGTCAAAGAAGGTGACAGTTAATGCAAATGATGTTTGAGAGAAGCGAATGAAACCATGTTGAGCTCATTCATTCAACAGGTAAGTAGGATTCATCTTAGGTGACGACTGGTCAACGACTGATAACTCTCTGATAATTACTCCACTTTTATTTGCAATATTTCGCATCCATGTAACTAAACAGTGCGAAAATTCCAGCCAGGTAGGTACGAACTCTCGTTTGGATGCTGGATTTGATTTCGACCCGAATTCACGAAGTGCGACTTTCCGGGCTGAAATTTTATCATTCGCTTGGCCTTTTTGATAAAAGTGCATCCAAAATATTCAAAACTTGGCATATCAAGTTGAGCTGACTTTCGAAGTCTCTCCTCCTCCACCACGTTTATCAGATCTCTTGCAAACAAACTTTCTTTTCTTCCGCTTACTCATCAGCTTCTTGAAAACATTTTCGAAAGCAGGTGAGAGAGAACCACGTCTTCTAGCAGTTCATTGGTTCCAAAAGTTCTGAATTTTAAGCAAATGGAATTGATGCTTTTATTGCATATTGGTAAATCTGTTTTCATTGTAAATGCTCCTATACTGATAAGAAGAAAAAACAATATATAATATTGAGCTGCATAATTTTTAAAAATCATTAAAACGAAATTTTGAAAACTGTATAAAAGTTCGAATTATTGATTGTTCTTAGCTGAATTGTCGAGCATAATTTTTTTTGCTTTATTTTGTTGTAAAGTTATTTTTGTTAAACATTTGAAGCGTTGTGTGCATTTTCTTTAATATTAAAATTAATATATAAATCATTTATTTTTTGTGTAATTGAAAAGATTTGCTTTTTGGTAAAAAATAATTTAAATTTTTAATTTTTATAATTTTTGTAATTTTTAATAATTTCGTTTCAGATTTAATTTATATGAATAAATAAAATTTATTTTAAAAGAAAATTATTAAAACTATTAAAAGAAATAGAAAGCGCAAAAATGCATTCGAAAATTGACCGAAATACTGATTAATTTATTATTCTTCATGAAATTTTTCCCAAATGCCGTTTCACTCATTTAAGACTCTTTAAAACGTCGTCGCGTCACCTTCGAAACTCTCTAAGGAAGCTTTGCTTATAAGAATTTTGTCGAAGTCCATTCTAATCCGTCAAACCTCTATCACATATCGTTTTTCACTTTCAAATTTATCTCTTATTTCGTTTGACAAAATCACTGTAAAATATTTATTCACTTTCTTAAGGAAGCATTGAAAAAATACAGGTGACATTATAGAGAAGAAAGAATTATAATCGATGATAAATCGGATAAAATTGCAGAAATGAAAAATAACGAATTCCTCGGAAAACTGAAATTCCATTCATTCTCTATTACGATTTGTTGAATATTTTAATTGGAACTTTTCAGATTTTTTTTGAAATTTCCGACTGGAAAATGCGGAAGCTAGAAAAAAATTAAATATTAAATGATGTTTTAACTTTGTCAATTCAATTTCAATCATAAAAAAATTAACTGCTAAAATTCAGATTTCATGAAGATTTCTAAGGATTATTTATTAGAAATATATTTTTCGTACTTAATAAAAGAAAATTGGAAATTGCGTCATTCTCCTTCCAAGCAATAATTTGCGCATTGTTTTTGTCGCATTTGTATTTAATTTCATCAATATTTTAGTCAGTTTCAGTGATTTCCCTTTTTTATGTTAACGATTTATGGTTCAAGAGAGATATTAGGTTGTGAAATTATATGATATAAAGTTTTTTTGGTAACGAAATATTTTTACAGAAATTCCATTCGGGAATAGAATGGCTTACTGGGTTATTGTTCTCATTTCGCAGCACCGACTGGAGTTCTCGTCAGAGGAATTCATAGGATGTTTATATATATATATATATCTATTTGCTTGTTCCATCTTTTTTTAAATCCATATTTTGTATTTTTTTGTGAATCTGTATATTTCATTTTATATTTTTATTTTCGTGATTATTTGCCTTTTGATTGTTGTTTTTAAAGCGATTGATGATTTGCAGTTGTGCATTTGTCGACAAGTTTCGTTTTAATTATGAAAAGCGTTTATTTTCTTTTTTTTAATGAAATTTATAGTGTTGATGAAAATATTTATTTATTTTTTGCAATGGAGCAGTTTTTTGTTGGTACAACCAGAAAAGCAAGCAAAGTGAAGGTATTAAAATAGGAGGGTTAGCCAATAGTTATTTATCGCAGGTTTCGTTTTTTTTAATGAATTGTTTTACTTTTAGTTTGGTGTTTTACTTTCACAGATAGGCTTGGCTTGTAATTATTCAATTGATTGACTAAAAGCCTAAAATTCAGTTGGGAAACCGAGGTAAAAAATTCATGAATTCGAATCAAAACCGGTATTGCGATCGATCATGTTTATTGGGCTGCTCGACTGACATTTTTCTCAAACTCTTCTTTTGCAATTTTTTGAAGTCGGATCTCTTCGAAATACCGTTAAAGTACGTTTATTATGTTGTCCTAACCGTTACCTCTTTTTCCCGACTGGAATATAATTGATCTTTTTATATTCAACGATTTTCTTCGGTGTATCACAACTATTTATACGAACACTCTCCATGTTTAGAAATCAGTTTTCGCTAATACTTTCTAAAGAATAAATTTTTCAGCTATATTTTATTATGTGGAATTATTTATTATAAAGAAATATTTATTTGAAATTGTTAAGCTAATTTTGTGGTTCAGATTAATGTCAAATTCCGTTAACGAATTTAATATCACGAAGGTTACTTTTTTTCATTTTTTTGTCGAAATTTTTTATTATTGCAATTATTGATGTAGCTGTCTCTCCACTGTTTCAATTTATCTCTAATTTTTTAAAAACTATTTCCAGTGATAATATTTGATTATCAATGCAAAACAGTGAAAAAAATTTTTTCCGTGGTTTTTTTATTAGTAGTGATCTTATCAATTTTGTGTATGTATTGTCTCTCGCACCATCCAACTTTTTTTTGGTTTTCATTAGCAGTTACTATTTGATTTTCGTCATTTAGACATGATTTTTATTTCTATTTTTTCAGATTGCTAAGTCCGATTCAGATGATAATGAATTGAAAAATGGCCAACATGAGAATAAACCAACGATGGGTGGGATCGTAACTTCCGATTCACAAATTAATGATGTGGCTAATCAAAGGATTATTGACGCCGAAGATTTTGAGGGTTATTATTTTAATATTTTATTTTTTTATTTAATATTTTTATAATTATTTAATATTATTTTTGAAATAGTTTTTTTCCAGAATTCATCTAGAATAGTTAATATGGAGATTTTTGAGAAAGAAAAAGAAACCTAATGCTAGGAAACTTTTATTTATTGGGAAACATTAGGAATATTATTATGGATTCTGTAATGAAATAGCCTATTTCGTTTTCTTTTTCTTTTTTCAATTTTTCCAATTGAGTTTCATATTTCTATTTTTAGAGCTATTATTTTACAGGATTTTTTTAAATATTTTATTAAGAAAAGGGCATACAAGAGAAAAAAAAAGAACATGGCAATGTCAAGATTAATTGATAAATTTTATATTATATCAAATTTTATATTTATATCAAATTGCGAATATATATTTAAATTGAAACAAATAGTTAAACCAATAAAAAGTTTTAAAATTTTTATTTTCATTTTATTTTAATATTATCCAGTAGAAATAAGAGTCATAGAGAATTAAAAGATTTTTTTTATTAAGACAGTGTTTGATATTTGTTTTAAATGTTATTTTTACTGGAATGCTTAGAAGTGCTGAAGAAGAGCACAATTAAATTTTCAAAGGAACTACAATTTATAAATAAAATTTATTTAAATTTTAACAATTTATTTGTTAAAATTAAGTTTCTCATTTATCTTTCTTCCAGAAAGGTAGAATCTTTCTAGTTTTCTTTCTTGTTTTTATTTTCTTGAGAATCACACGACTTTATAGAAATTTATTGGATTCTTGATCATTCGTCTTATTTTTATTCTTTTTCTTCAGATATTTAGTGCTTGTTGGTTAAATAAATAACAACCACCATTTATTTGTTTGATTTGTCATTTGTGAAATAGCGTTGTTAATCAAGTTTAATTGATTTTGGTGGTTTTATTTTGTAAAGGTGAAAAAGTATAAATCAGGAACTCGGCAAACTTTGGTTTTATTATTATCGTTTTATTATCCATTATTTTACATATATTTGTTTTAATTTGGCTTGTGCAGAAATAATAATTTGAGATTAAATATTGGGATGAGGCATTTGCTATAGCAATCAGATTACTTCGTCATTTAAGGATTTTTATCCCTTTCTTTAGACTCTTATCCTGTGGCACTCACCAGAATCAAACTAGATGTTGGTATTTACGTTGTCTTAAGGGAATCGCCTAATGATTTTCTAACGGCGAAAAAACACTCTTATTTGTTCACTTCATTCTCTGTATATGTTTATTTCAAGCTATGGCATATAACCATCGGGGCAGATCGTAGAAGTTCAACTTTATTGAGCCTGAGGAGATTGTCATTAAAAAGTGGGGAATAAAGTTATTGCGAAATTATATGGCTCACTTTTAAAAATTTAAAATCTGTTTGAAGAATATTTGTTCACTGCAATATTCGAAGCTGTATGGTTGCTTTATCCATTTTCCTTAATTTTGGCTGTATGAGCATCAGTTTAGTACTCCCAGCCGAGAGAATTCTAATCTCCAAATCTCCATATGAAAATAAAAACGGTCAATTGTCTTAATTTAATTATCGAGGTGCATTTTGCATGTTAAGATACTATTCAAAAGCGGTGTGGAATATTTTGTTCATAATAGAAGGAATTAATAGCTTTATGATTCCTAATTGGTGTGATAAGAATCATACAAATAGTGGGTGAAAACAATAGTTTCTTATCATTGTGATAAGAAAAATGAGGGAAGAGACGGGAAAAAAATGAAAAAAGAATGGTTTGTCGGTAATTTACCGTTTAATTATTTCATATTGATTTATTTTTACATATATGAAGTAACTTTCTTTAATGGGCAAACAACAGTTGTGATTTTTCGATAAACCGAATTCCTTTTTTTTTCTGTTCCTTCCTATATGGGCGGAATATAGGGAAAGAGGGTGGGCAGTATTTCGAAATACGTTGCAGATTATCATATCAGGCATTGTGATTCAGCTGCCTTGCTAGGGTCAAATTTGTCGTCGGGTTAGTCTCAGGAACTCTACCACCTATCTCTAAATGATAGCGATATTATCTTATCATAATAGAGGCAAGTAACCAGAATTGGCGTGCATACCACTTAATAATATGATTAATAATGTAGTTCCTGAAATAAAGAAATAGAATACTTTTTTGCACAAGCAGATTTTAGCAGTGTTGAAGGTGCATAACGACTGCGAAGCACTATTCATCTTTATTTGACAAATTTTAACTTAAATATATTTAGAAACGAAAAAATTCATCGTTCAGCTGGTTTAATTTCGTCGTTGAAATTAATTCAGCTGAAATGAATTTCCCTATTGTCTAAAAAGGTCAAAATAGGGCAAAATATTGCCGCTGGCGTGTGTTAATCTACTTCGGTATTCGCCATTCTTGTCTTTAATGTTCATCCATAGTGCAAAATTTTACGGTCCGTAAATTTTTTCTTAAAAATTATCATTCAATTATAAAAATAGAAATGTTTTTGATGGCAAAATTTATGCTTATCAATAAATTTTTTTTCTTCTTGATTGGATTATTTTTTAAAATATTCCTTAGATTGTCTTTTTTCTTATTTAAAATAATTTCAAGGCAAATAATTTTAAGTGAAATGAATACTTTCGTTGATTGTTTTAAAAAGATTTTTTTCACCAAAAAATTCAATTATTCATCATTTTTATTGGCTCATTTTGCCGTTTCTTCTCTTTTCTCTCGAAGATTAAATTTTTTTAGCTGAAATGGAATAATAAATATAAGACACGCGACTCGGAGTCGCACTTTCCATCGCCTGAGAGCGACTATGTGCGGATATTCTTTCTGATTTAGGATATCAAGCCTACTGATAATAATTTTATAGTTTTATGATAATAATTTATAGTTATATCGATATAACGAAAACAGCCTAAATTTTTATGGGTTCTTCGATAAGAGTAAAAGTAAAGAGTAAAAATCCGAAATCTGAGTGGTTAGTGAAGGTCAGTATATTTGTCTTCAGGTGATTCGATTCATTGACTTCATCTAAATCAGAATAATTTCTGTAGGATGATTTAAAAATTTTTTAATTTCTTCAAAATTAGGTCCTAGCGATTTTTTTTGAATGATATGTTATGTGTTAGAAACGGGTTTTCATTTTTTTTTTCACTATTATTGGTTTGACATCTATATTTTATATATAATATTTATTTTATATATTTTATGTGCTTACTGTTTCTTTAATTTTATTATTAACTATTTGTAGAATATAATAATAAATAAATATATATATGTATTTCAGATGGTATATCATCAATGGACGCACATATTTGGTCAAAACAACAAAAAACATCAAAAGTTTTTCGTATTTTATGTTGTTGTTTCGGGAAGCCAATTGAAAAGCACAAAAGTTTCTTTTTTTTCATTTTTTTTCATAATTTATCGACATTTATTCGGCTGCTTTTTAAATATAGTTTTTTGATATTTTATAAATGATTGCTACATAATTGAATATTTGAATATAAGTATTATATATAAATCGAAAGAATTTAAATTCCAATTCCAAAATTAGCAAAGCGAAGATTTTTGTTATTATTAGTTTAAATTTTTCAAATTTTAAATTTTTTATTTAGTTAAGGAAGAGTTATTGCTTTATTAGTATATCATAAGAATTTTCCATCGAGGTTTGGGTTCGAATCCGATCGACTGTTCGTCAGGCGGTAGTGTCGCCTAATATCTCGGCGAATGCTCAGTAGATTGCTCAGCTCAGCTCGAAGTACTGGTGCTGAGGTTCGAGTCGCAGTAGGGGTAAACTTGCCCACAAATCTGGGTGATGCTGGACACCTGTATTTCTGTCGCCAAGAAGTATCCCTGACATATTTGTTTAATCAGACAAGCCAGAAGCAAGTTTAAATGGTGAATGCTCTCAAAAAATTATTATTATTAGGACAGAATAGTGTTCTTTTATTTAGTTATAGTGAAATTTTGTTTTGTATGGTAATTTTGTAAAGAATTGTCGAATTGCTTTTAATGCAACGCCAGAGAATTTAGCCTTCCCTCGTAGTTGAAAAAATATTGAGAATTATTGGCGTAATCAGTAATTTTTTATTTCCTTTAAATGATTAATTTCAACCAAAATTTTTTGAGTTCTGTGATGTCAGTTGTGTTGTATGCGTAACTAACTGGCTATTTCTCTATATCTCTAAAAATTATTTTTAATACTCTGCCACTGTTGTTTTTTTATTATCACAAGTAATCTGCCTCCACTGCCATGGATTTGCAGCTTTATTATTTTGTCCTTATTTTATAAAATATTTATTTTTATTAATTTTTTTAAATTTTGAAAATCGTTAAAATTTAGTTAAAAGAGAACTCTCTAAAATATCAAAAACACCATCAATGACGATATCGCCTGGTCCAAGCTCACTAATAACGCAAGTTACAAAAAATGGAACCTCATTGAATAATAACGAAACTTTTTGCGATAATAATGATTTCAGTCAGCAGAATAACAATTTGGTTTGTTTTGATCAATTTCGTGCTTTTCATATTTTTCATTTCATTTTTAATTCATTTTAAGAAAAAATTCTTTCGAAATTCTACCTTTTCTAACGTATTATTTTTGGTTAATTATACTAGTTGCTGCCGTTATGGTTATCTTGCCTGATGCTTCGACTGAATTAAATGGAATTTTTTCTTTTTCTCTGTGAAAATATCAATATATATCAATTTTATCAACTAGTAGTATCGAATAATTTTCATTTATCTTATTTATTTATTCGCAATTGCATGTAATATTTGTTGTTAAATATCCCATCCCACTCTTGAAATATTTTTTTTTAATGCAACTTTCAAATTCAATTTTTAGGCTGAGAAAAGCATTCTATTACCTCCAGTACGACCAAATGATTATTTGAAAAAGTGCCTAATAATAGATTTGGATGAAACATTGGTGCATTCTTCGTTTAAGGCATGTTGTGAAAGATAATTTTTTTTTTTGAAAATTTTAAGTTCGATTTGGCGATTTTTCGATTTGAAATAATGAAATAAATTCGATCATCTTTAATTGCTCAAAATGTCCATAAGAAGCGTCTTTATTAGAGGGATTTTAATTTAGTTTAGTTTTTTTTTGTACAAAATGCTTTTAATTTTTGTTTTATGCAAATTTCTAACCTTATACTTTAAGGGTTTTTTTAGAAGCGCATTTTTGAATTTTATGTTCATATTAAATTAAAAATGATTTAATTTTATTTATGAGTTAATTTATAGATTAACTCATTTATAGACATTCTTTTGATTTCAGCCAGTGAAGAATCCAGATTTTGTTATACCAGTTGAAATTGATAATATAATCCATCAAGTTTATGTTTTAAAAAGGCCATTCGTTGATGAATTTTTAGATAGGATTGGTGATAAATTTGAATGTATCTTATTTACAGCAAGTTTAGCCAAGGTTTGCATTTCTTCTTAATTGTGAGCTAATGGGATAACATCTTCAAGTTGATTTTAATGAAGTAAAATCGATTTGAAAGCTAAGAAAATGCTAGATGTTTGCTCTCTCTATTCGAGATTTTCCTTAAATTTATGTATTTGTAGACTTATAGACTTTATTTACAGAATATTTAAGAGATATAAAAGATTAAAGAAGCATAAGAAGTAAGAAGTATAAGAATATTCAAGAAATATAGAAGATTAATTTCAGTATGCGGATCCTGTAGCTGATCTTTTGGACAAAAAAGGTGTATTTAGATCAAGGCTATTTAGAGAAGCTTGTGTATTTCACAAAGGAAATTATGTCAAGGTGTTTGCCGTTTCTGAATTTTTTTGTTACTGGACTTTTTTTTCTGAGATTTCTTATTTATCGTTCTATATTTTTCAAGGATTTAACACGTCTGGGCCGCGATTTGAAGAAAGTCATAATTGTCGATAATTCTCCAGCGAGTTATTCATTTCATCCAGATAATGCGGTATGTTTTTTTGATTGTTCATTTTATATATATTCACATCCAACCGTATGTTTATGAATTTAAGTTTTTAAATTTAAATTAAATTTTTGAAGTCGCTTCTAAGAGGAGTTTGCAGATACCTGTGCAGTCATGGTTTGACGATGTAAACGATGTTGAATTGCTTGATATTTTGCCTTTACTAGAAGAATTAGCTTCTGTCGATAATATTTATTCTGTTTTGCGTAATTGTAACGAAAATTTACGGCTTAGTAATTCACCTGAATAGTCAATAGTTAATATTTAATATATACTTTACTTATTTATTGTTTTTTATCAAATACTTTATTTAGATCTTTTTTGAAATTTTCATTCATTTTTCATTACTCTATCTAATAGTCTAATAAAAAATAATTGCTGAAAGATAATTGTCGATAGTTTACAAAATAAATATAATTTTTCTTTTTTTATTAAGGTAGTATTTCGATTAGTGCAATTCATTGTTGTAAATTTCAAGAGTTTTTAATTCATATTAGTTTTATGTTGTTAGATTTGCCTTATATTTTGTAAACGGGGTTTTTTAAAATTTTTATGCAGAAATTACTGCAAAAGGTGTTGTGATACAAATATGTATGTAAATTTATTTCATGATTTAATCAGTGTTAGGAACTTATTAAAGAAATGAAAAAAGATGTTGGTGATCCACTTGTTTCTCTGTCATTAGTGGGGGTCAAGTCAACTAAAGCAGAAATGGTACGTATTATTCGAATGGTGATAATGGTGATTTTCTTTCATTTAATAACTTTGTTTTGTGAACGAAGAATATTTGCTAATCCATTTATAAACAGTAAGGAGAGCTGGTAAAGCAAAACTTAAAACTCAAAATCGTTAGTTGTTATTTGAAAAATGAAAAATTCAAATTTAACGTTCCTCGTGCCTTTTTTTATAATTTGTGATATTTGACTTGTTTTAAATAAATTTTGAGACAATTTTATTGGAAGAACGAAGTGAGATGCTGGAACTTTCAAAGAATTCCATTGGTATCTTTGTTTAATTTCTCTTCATTTTCTTTTTTTTGAGGATAAAAAAAATCCTTATAGAGTTGATGATGGCATCCTGCTTCTTCATATATTTTCCTTCTCACCTGTCATCTTTCATTTGCCCAGTGATTGATTGGTTTCTGTAAAAATTGAAAGCCTTGCGATTTTTTCTCAATTTTGAATGTTTTAAAAAGTTTTTAACTCAACGTTCATTCGTACTAACAATAAAAATAACGGCGAAATAATGAAAAATAAAAAAATTTTATTATTGAAAAAATTCAAATTCTATAAATTTTTTTATTATATTTTGATTTGGATTTTTTGGGAAGGAAATAAGAAAAACTAACAAATTCTGATTTTTTTGGGAAGGAACCATTTAATTTATTCGAATAATTTGATGTTCTCATCAAATTTTCTTATTTCACATTTTTTGTTTAATCGGAAAGGGGAGTGGAGGGAAAGGGGTTTCAAGGAAATTTCATTCCACTGTTCGTCTTTTTGCATCTTCCTTCGTATAGCTTTTTTAGACTTTATTTTTAAAATTTAAAATTTAAAAATTAAAATTAAAATTTTTGAAAGGTTATTTCACTGGTTTTCTGGTTTCTTCTTTAAAACTAATGTTTTCATTTTATTAAATGCAAATTGCATTGACCAAATGAAAGAATACATGTTGGAAAAGAACAAAATGGGATTCTGGTGGAAAATTAGGTGAGATGAGGTGCGCAGCAGAGAACCGTGGATAGGTCTCTATCCTAATATTCGTTTTATAAGCACTGTTAACCACTTCCTGATATTTGGTGATAATTTAAAATTTTTGCTTCTCATTTTTCTTGAATCTAACGTTAAATTATCTTAGAAGCGAGGCAAATTCCTTCATCCTTCACGTAAAGCTTTCATCAATGTTTTGGTAGTTTTATATTCATAGTCTTTAACTGAAACAATATTTGCAATATCTGCAGCTGAGCTAAATGAGAATCTGAAAAATCACCGATTTTTAAATAAAATAAAAATAAAATCGAGAAGGAACATGCTTTATTATAAAATTTTAGATCACTAAAACCTATAAAAATCTTGAAAAATTTTCGAAAGAGCAAAATTATCAATTGCAAATTTATCAAAATTATCAATTGCAATTGCGACTAAAAACTCCGCGGATGCAGCGAGAGTTCATTCTTTTTATTTTAATCTTCGTTTGTAAAAGAATTTTTGTTGCTGCGATTATTCGTTTCATCGTTGCATTCGAGAAACGTTCCGGTACTCTTCAGGAAGATTCTTCAGCTTCTTTGGCTTATGGCCTTCGGCTGGTCGAAAACGGAACGAATGTTATTGCTTCAATTTTTCTTGATTGGTGGTAATGTATATTTATCAACGAGTAAAAGCGCTATCAACTTTTAAGAAATAACGCTGAAATATGACGGCTGAACGTATTTATCCTCCCCTCATATGCTTTGTTTTATAAAGGGTTTCTATTTTCATTTTACCAAATTTATCAAAAGCTAACAGTTAGTCGTCCGCTATCTCTTATGTTGTTCCAGCTGTCGAGATTATATTGTTCAGCCCGCAAGAAATCTCAGTGAATACGGAAATTAACCGTTCACTCAATGATGGAAAGGTTTTTGTAAAATTTGCCGTGGTGTTGAATAAGGCGATGATGCGAGTAGTGCGGACGACGAAATATGCCAACAATTGCTAAGTTCCACAGTTCAAAATCAATAAAATTCTATGTTTCTTCCTTTCTTTTAGACTTAATATATTTTAAAAAATGTTTGATGAACATTTTTCAATATTTTTCAACATCTTCAACAGACGAACATATGGAAATGTTCGTTCATTCATTCAGCGTTCATTTAGCGTCTTCGTAGCGTTTGGATTCGGAGCGGAAAAAACTTCTCTTTTCTCTCTCGAAATTCGCAGCTAATGGCCTAATGGAATTATATAATAAATTAGGGCAGAATAAATTATTTGAACCTTCAACATTGCACATCAAATTTTACAGCAAATCTCTCCACTGAAGAAAATTAAAGCAATCATATTAATTGATTTGCTATTCTTTTTATTTCAGCTCGTTTTTTTGATCAGAAGTGAAACCGAAGGCCAAATGTGGCACCGAAAACGAAGTGGAAGGGCTATTCGGTGCAAATTAGACAAATAACAATCTCATTGTGGAATTATGCGAAATTTGTTGTCTCGATTTAGATTGTGAAAGAAGTGATAAGAGGCTCTTATCATTGTTAAAATTTAATAGGAAACGGTTATTCTTTCCTCTTTGTTTGTTTATTTGCCATTTATTTATTTTTAATTTTGTTTTTTCTTTTATTATTAATAATAGTAATAGCAGTAATAACAATAGTAAAAGTAGAATGCATCATTAGTTGGTCTTTTTTGAGTACAGTAAAAAAATCTGAATGATTGCTAGAGACCCAGTTAAATTTGAAAATAAATTTAAGAAAAAAAAGCTTTCCAGCCAAGATAACTGCTCGAGATTTGTTAATGGAGTCGAATAACTTTCGCTCTCTACACATGCGGCGAGGTCCTGGCTTAGCAGCGTGGACCATCAGAAGGCTTATGGACATCGGAAATCACGATAATTGTCGATGCTTTGTCCAGATATCGTGTGGATATCGCATCCTTCCGAAATTTCTTCTATTTCAACTCTGGTCTCGTGCAATTATTATATCTGGCTCTGAGCAGAGGTGTATGCTATACCACTGTAGTGCTTCGGATATTTCGGAACGAATATTGATAAATGAATACTGGTCCCAACTAAAGGTATGCCTCCGAATTCTGGCTAAGCCTACATCAGGATACTGCAATTAGAAATAATTTAGTTGCACATCGGAAGGAAATGTTTGAAAGGGCTATCAAAGCACGAATATCAGGAAATCCTGGCTACTTCGAAACCTTACAACAATAGCAGCAAGAAACCGTTACTAAAATTCCTGAATCTGGAGAGCAAGTAGTAATAGGAAACTATTTTCGAGTTAAGAAAATATTGTTTAAATATTGTTTTAAACATCTGAAATCCAGATTCACTTGACAACAACTTTTGAAGATGATGGATGACGGCGTTCCGAAGACAATCATTCGAATTATAAAGGTATTTTAACATCGTTCATCGACAGTTTATGTCTATGCTTGGGAACTTGACAGATCCTTTTGAAATAAAAACTGGTTCGCTCAGCTCTGTCCTTTCCCCTACAATATTCAACTAGGCGATTGATTGGATTACGGACATTCGTATTCAAGAGGTGTACAAGTCAATCCAGGGCATAATATTACAAATCTTGATACGCTGATGACGTAGCCCGCTGATATTTATGAAGGAATGCGAGAGATGCTATGCAACAACAATAGAAAAATAAAGATCTGACTCAGGACTAATGTTATTAAGAGGAAAACCTTCTCGTTTTACATACCAGATGCCGTTTACCATTGTAAAAATATTTATTTTTATCAGTTATCAATTCTCATGAAATAGCAGATTTTAAATAATTTCAATCCACTCTTATATCAAATAACGAAAAAAGTTGCGACCCGGATAATCGAAGCTATAAATGCACTCCTTGTTTAGCGAAATTTCCATGAAATTGTCGCGAAACCTATCTGGCTGCGGTGCATACCATCCTGTCAGATCATAAAACTACGAAACATGGCCAAGAAGAGTGGAAGATAGTTCCACTTAAAGTTCCAAGTTCCATTTTTTATCTTCCATTTTTGATCATCCTGGGATGCATTTAACCTTTATTAAATATTATTCCTAGGGTGCATTTAACCTTTATTAAATTTTATATTATTACATATATTTTATTTATTCGCCGAGCAGATAAATTCCCCCATAATTACATCCATTTTTACTACATTCTACATTCAAAATATTCAAAATATCATCATAGGCCTCGCATAGTAAGTGGAATGAATAGATCGTATTCTTCGACGCCAGTCGCGGCGAATTTATTACTCACTAAATCATCTGTAAATGGCGACAAAACTGAGGAGAACTATAAAATTGGAAAAGATTTAGCAAGAGAAGTTCGAGACATTCCAGATTAAGAAGATAAAAAATTCTAGACGTTCCGGATGTAGAAATCAAATTTATTATTTATGGGGAAAAATCTTATAATATGCCATTCTTTTCTAGCGGAAGTTGGCTTTTTTAAATATGTTTTATTCATAAATTAAAACTTTGTTTAATGAAGCGATTATCGTTCTCACTGCAAAGAAAGGAGGAAAAAAAATGAAAATTCATGTGAAAATTCATAAAATGGTTCAATTTTTTTTGTAATTCCTGCATGAAATTGTTTCAAAAATATTTTTTTTTTCCTAATATTTTTTATAAAAAATTTTTCATAAATTATTAATTTCACAATTTGAGAAGATCTGAAAATAAGGAAAAATTTGACTCATAAACGATATGAAAAATGGAAAAAGTTATTATGATACATGGAATGAAAATTAAAAAAAAAACAGGAAAATATAAGTTTTGCTTTAATTCAGCGATGAACGTAGCCTGGTCCCGTCCGTGGAGGAGGACAATGATCACACGAACCAGGCTGGCCAGGTGGTCCTCTGGGTCCTGGAGGACCAGGTGGGCCCGGTAAACCGTCTGCTCCTTTTTCTCCGGGATCTCCTGGTGGTCCAGGCGGTCCAGGTCTACCAGGCTGACCATCTCGTCCAGGTGGTCCGGGAGGCCCTATAATGATTTTTCTGAATATTATTTCATTAAGAGATTTTTAATAAAGATAAAGAATCTTAATAAATAAGGAACTTTTATAAAAGAATCTTCATTATGAAAGGATTATTTTCAGGTTCTACCAAATATTATGGTTTCACAGATTTTTCGGTAACATCACTGCATAATTTAATTTTGAAAAAAAATGAAAATTTCGTCTTAATATCGATAAAATTTTTTCAGTTTTTCTTCTGAATACGAGACATAGTCAGTTGAATAAATTGATAAATAAATACCTTGTGGGCCTGGTGGACCTGGTGGGCCTGGAGGGCCTGGTGGCGCGCCATTGATTATTTTTCCTGGTTCGCCTGGCGGTCCTTTTTCGCCTGGAATTCCGGGCGGACCTTGCGGTCCTGGAGGTCCTGGTGGCCCTGGTAGCCCTGGTGCGCCATCAATTCCTAAATAATAATAAATTTTAATCAATAATAGCGGGTTTTTGCTAGTAGACCACAGGAAGGATTTTTTAAAATTTATTCTTACCAGGATTTCCAGCGTCTCCTTGTGGCCCAGGCAGACCTTTTGGACCTGGAGGCCCTGGTGGGCCCGGTGGACCTGGCGGACATTTCTGACAAGGTGGCTTTGGAGGAGGACCAGGTAGAAGCGTTCCATCACGACCAGGTGGACCTGGATTGCCCGGTCGTCCAGGAGCACTATAATAAAAAATATGAAAGGATAGAGAAAAAAATTATTTATTTAGCGAATCAAAAAGCATGACAATAAATACCCTGGCCTGCCATCTCTTCCTGGCGGTCCTGGTGGACCAGGAGGTCCAACTTGACATGTACAGCAAGTGCCACCTGCACTGTATTTTGTTTCGATGCTTTCAGCATCATACTGCCTTTTGAAACGGAGATTTCTAACTGGTGCTGTGCTAACTTGAAGTTGAACAATTTCTCGCCACATATCTCTCGAACGAGTCTAAAATTATCATAATTTTACAATATTATTTCAAGAAATTCATGGAAACAATCTTAATCTTCTCTAAAGTAGTTGCATTTATCTAATAATCATTTAGAATCATAGAATTTTATAATCGCATTCGTTTGTGAATATTTGCTCATTTCGGACTCCAATGCCGGCTGGACAATTCACCTTCTGCAATGATAAACTTTGAAAAATCCATGTGCGGCTGCATGCCTATACTTCTATGCCAACTGATTCCCTAGCAAAATTTGCTTCGTACGGTGAATGCAGAGCGAACCTAACTAAAAGCAGTGAACGCTCTTGGAACAAGAAAGTCATTTGTAAACAATCAGATTGTAAACTTTCAAAAGCATGTCCAAAGAAATTATGTTAATATCCTTACCTTACAAAAATCGACCTCATTCTGCATTAATGAATGCACACTTTGCACATGGTTGTAGACGATCGGTAACGTGATTACACAACACATAACTGAGACTGCTGAGAATGTAACTGCAGCAAAGGCGATTGGCCGTAATGACCGTTTCTTCTCAGACATCCTGAAATCCGACAATTTCAGGTAGAATCCGTAAAATTGATTCGCCAAGAATTGTTTAAAATTGCTTATAGGAGCCAAGTTCATTGAAATCAGTCAATGAAGCTTAGTAAACGCTCTTCTAGCATTTTTTTGCCTAAAAACGCACTAAGCTGGAAAATTTTTCGCCATATTAAATATTTAATTATATTTTTAATATATTTTATCATTGAACGACAAATAATTTCGAATGATTCGTTAAAATATTCAAATTGTTCACTACTAATTGATCGATGTAATTAAATCGGTTAAATTTTATTTCATAAATATTTGAGGAATTTAATTGAAATGGAAAATGCTTTAAACTAAAAACATGCAAACTTTATATTAATATTAATTGAATTTTTTGAAAGGCGTCGAGTCGAGGCGTAGAGGAATGCAAAAAGAGGAGAGGTTTGGCTCTCAAGCAAATATTTACCGGCTTGGCTATGTAAAATTAAAAAATTACCGATGCAGTACCTATCGCCTATTAGTCTCGATATTTCACGAAGTATTAATGCATTTTTCCTAGGACTTATTAATTTTAGAAAAGAGTTCTGAATCAAAAGTTTGTGATACTATGACCTAAATTATCATTTCAAGCATTTTCACGAGTTTTGTTTTTAGCTGGAGTATATATATCAGTAAAATATTATAAATCCATTTTCATAAATATTTGTTGAACCTTATTTCAATAAACAGTAAAACGGCAGAAAGTAGAAAAAAACCCTTGCAAATCGTCTTATAAATTCTTATCAATATCTTATCAGTTTATGCTATTTCTTAGGGATAGTGCTTTTTATAACGAAGGAAGTAAGCTTTAAAATGAAGGCTAAGAATATTTTATTATGATTATTTTAAAGATTATTTAGAAAAAAAAGTTGAAAATAATAAAGAAATTCTTATTGCGATAAAATCGTTGGAAAATAATGGCATAAAATTGTGTTTAGGGGATTCTTTTAAAGTAATCAAAGATGATTCGACCCAGATTTGTTAGACTTTGCGGTCAGTTAATGTCATTGGCCTATTTCGATATTTCCTAACAATTTTGATTTACATGTTTGCAATTTCATTAAATTTCAGAATTAATATTCGATAAAATTTGGACAAAAAAGCTTGAATTTTTCGAAACGATTTTCTCAAAAAACACTCAGCATTAATTCTTCTCTGATTCAGCCAAAAATATTTGACTGATAAATGGACAGTTTTGCTGATTTGCGGTACCTTCAGTACTGATAGTTTGAAATAAATATAGTGTCGTGTCGCTCTTCTGGGAAAAAGGTTATATGAAACGATATAAAACCAGAACTATTCAGATCTGCGAGAAGTTCAGTGCGGCAATCGCTCAAGTCTTTGTACTTATTATTTTCAAGCCAATTGGCCAAATAAAAAACACCACAAAAAAGTTTTTCGATTTCCAATCTTTAAAAAGAAGGCAATTAATGGCGCCGGCCGTTCAATGAATTTTTTATGATTTATAATTTTCGATTTGCGAATTTTTTATTTATTTTCGAAATATATATGCCAAAAAAAATTTGTGACCTAAAAACAGGGCATTTTCTTCACTTTAAACGAAACTAGATTGACCGCAAATATCTCCTTTTTTTTATTGCAAGAAATCATGAAATTTTATGAATTTAATTAGTACGAGAAAAGGCGATGATGAATTGGCAAGTGGAAGGAAATGAAAAAATTCCATCAAAAGACTGGAACAAAGAGAGAAAGGAAAAAGGAAAGAATAATGAAAAAGACATGAACTCTCATCCGGAAACTCATCATCTTGTAGATCGTAGAATGGAAATTCTCCACGATCAATATAAATCTTTTTAGCACCTTTTGTTTAGTATTGAATTTCTCCAAGTTTTATTATCAAAAAACCTAAAAGAGATTTGAAGCAGTAAAGATTTGATTAAAATGAAAATAAAAATATAAAAAAATTGATAAATAGTTCGATGTAAGATATTTAACAAAAAATGATATCAATAGAAAATATTTTTTAGGAAGGAAGACATTATCAATTGCACTGAGAATTCGGTTACGTAGTTCGGCTGTAAATACTGCATATAATCTGGAAAAAATACACAGCAAAGGGACTCGGAGAGATCACTGACAATTGCTTTAACATATGAAATCAAGCAAAAAAAATTTATGAACACATCTCTACATTCAGCATCATTTAATTTTGGTCGCCTCAGCTTCGAAGTCAATGGAGCCAAGCCAAACTGAGGATTCAAGACTGCCAAAGCTCGAAAAATCTTAAAAATTTTTACGATAATATAAGTGATAAATATTGAAAGGCTTGTAAAATAATATTTTGTTTTGCTAGTTCGCTTAAATTCAGTGCAATTAGCACTAATTTAATGCGACTTATTTATTCTCTCAGATGAGGAAAACTTTATCCAGCTGTTTCTGTCTCGTAAAAATTTTGTTATAATTGTGATTAGTCTTTTTTTTGCTTAAATCTACTGCATTTAGAAGAAAGCATCATATGCTCATTACTGATATTCTGAATATTCATTTGGATTTTGTGAGCAGTGAACATTCCACTTAACTAAGGGCATTTCTCTTGCCACTTCACGCTAAGATGAAGAGAGGATGAAGATTGGCTAAGTGGGCGGCTACTGCACTCATTTAGGCCGATGCTGAGGCAATTTAAGCCCATATCTTTTAAAAATCTGTTGCCAGCGATGCATTTGAACTTCGACACTTGAATAATTTGCTTAGTCCAACAACTAGCGAAGCGAGTCTAATCAAAAATCAGAAATAATAAGAAAAAAAAATGAAAAATTGTTCTCAATTATTCAATGAACTTTTCTTTTTTAATTTTTTTTCAAATTTATTGTAAGTTTTATCGAAGATTTTGAGGAGTTTTCAATGAAATCGATATGCTTCCGTGCAGATAAAATTCATTTTCCATCGTTATTTATATTTTCATGAATTTTCATATTATTACTTATCGCTTTAAAACTTCAAATTCAGTGAACTCCTCTTTTTTCTTTTTTTTTTCACCATTCGCTGCAAATCATAAATATTTAGTATTTATTTAAAATTAATAAGTTTCTAATGATAAGAAGTTATCTGATAAGTTCTTATCTGATAAGAAACATGGATAATGAGAATGAGATAATGGATTGTGGCTATGAATTACTTGTTGCATAAATAAACTGTGCAGTTTTTCTCTATTTGGTGGGATGAAAATGCACTCCATTCATATAATTTTTATGTCGCAATTAAATTTTATTTTATTTCATTATTTGGTGTTCAGAAATATTTTACAAGAGTGTTACTTTTTTTTAATTTGAAATGCTTAGAAATAAAAACATTTAAAAATATTTAAATGTTAAAGTATATGCAAAGTTTTCAAATTGGTTTATAACCGACTTCAATTTTAGTAACTATTATTTTTGCATTTGTCCCCTTTGCAAAACTATCTTAAAATACTATTTTTAAGAGCGATTTTATTAATTTAATTATTTAAATTCGCATCATAATCATAAATATTTCATATATTTATTTTTGCACAATTTTTGTATTTTTGCACAAAACATAATTGGCGTGACAAGTTTCAAGTCAAATTGAGCCAATGAAAAATAATGTTTTCCGTATTTCAACTTATCAGAGCTATTAAATCTATTTATCCACTTTAAAATTTTCTTCAAAATAAGGAAATTTGAAATTGCTCATGGTACATTCAGCTTCGATTATTTCCTAACTGGTACCGAGAAATATTTCTTTTCTTTTTCCATCTTTTTTTTTTTAAAATCTTTTGGATGAATTCTTATAATTTATTTAATTTTATTGCAACTTGGCACTCGGAAAAAAGAAACAAATCACATTTTATCCAAAGAAAATTTTTTTAATAATTTAATTTCCCCTTACCCAATATTTTTAATAATTTAATTTCCCCTTACCCAATATTTTGTAATGAATTTAATGTTTATTTGATATTTGACATTTGCTCTAATTTGCAATAAATTGGACTTCACAATTTAATAATTATAAAAATTATTTGATAGAATGACTTAATGATTTTGTAGCGCTAGGGTTCCTTCTTCCTTCTGCAACGAATATATTTCAAAAATCCAGGTGGTGCTGGTGACATATCTTTTATTGTCAAGTGTATTCCTGAAAAAATTTTTTTGATCCGACAAGCCAGAGGAACGAATCTAATTAGACATGGTGAGCGCTTTTCAAAAAAACGAACAAACGCATAGTACTTGCACAAGTGGTCTCCATTAGTGTTCATCTGTTGAAATATTTATCTGAAAAATAATCTTTTTTAGTAATAATTATTGACCACTAACTTATCGATACTTTTCTTCAAAATTTAGCAGATTTTTTGACTTTTATCCTAAGGCATATTTTCAGAAATATATTTGAATACAAAGACATAAATATGGATGTGGTCATTTCTTCTTCTTCTAATAATTCTCACCATTACTGATTGGGCTGGCTGTAAGGGTAAGATTTTCAAGCTGTTCGCTCCGGCTCTATCACTGACAATGATGGAAGCAATTCCCTTCTTATAAATGAGTAATCAAAATCAAAAGCCGATAGTTTCTGAATATCCACATATTGTCACACGTATTTCAAGTGATTCTCTGTCGAATAATCAGTCTTTGAAGAACCAAACACAGTGGCATGTGGTGTTAGAAAAGTAAAAATAATTCGGTAAAAAAATACTAAATTATTCCATACTTCAATATTTTTAATTTTATGGGTGCAATGAAACACAAAAAGTACTTCTTGCGTTTTTGGTTCGCCTAAAGTAGGCGAATATTTTAAAAATCCAGCATTAAGTAGAATTTGTGCAAACTGCATGCCAGAAATCATTCGAAAAATAGCAAAAATATTATCAATTTCCTTTATAGATTTGACATTTGAAATTTATTTATGAAGCTCACAAAGTTCAAGTGAAAGAGAGTCTTGCTGGGACAAGAATATGCCTATTTCTGCAGCAATCTTTTCAGACAATTATTCTCAAG